GGGTAGGAAAGCTGATGGATCCAAGCAGGCCTCAGCTTCACTGTGCTCCTCCCACAGAGAAGGGGGCTGTCCTGCAAAGCAGATGGGAAGAAGGTAGACACAGAAGTGTGATAAACTGAGTCAGGCAGACCTCACAAGCTTTTAGTCTTCAGCTCCCTGCTGTGCTATTCCAAACTGGCTTTTCTGGGAACTTCCAAGATCCTGTCTGGTGACTCTTTATTCCGCCCTTCGATGTAGCCCTCACTCACTCGCAATTTACCTCCTCTCTCTAAGGGGAAGCTGGGTACACTCCAGGCCCCCACCTCTACCACTATACTCTACTCTGCCATGGTGCTCCCCTGCCCCCTCCCTGCTCCAGTGGCGGGGAGTGAGCCCTTTAGGCCCAGAACTTCCCCTGCCATCTACAGTGAAGCTCCAGGACTCACAACACTGGGAACCGGAAGAAGCATTTCCTGCACCCTCAGCTCGCCCTTGAGCTTGTTGGGGACCTAGCATCTGACCTGGCCTCTCTGTGAGAGAAACTCCGGGAATGGGGGAGACACTGGGCCGTGGTGGATAAAAGGAAGTTTCTGGAGCCGGGCCCCTTCTTTCCCCTGGGTGAGTTACCTGTGCTCACCTGCTCCACAAAGCGTAAAGGATATGTAAGTCAGGGAGAGCTCGGGTACAGGGTGGAGAGCAGGCAGCAATCCTACACTCTGGGAGTCAGCCCTCAGAAGTCCCCTGGGCCACAGCCCTGCTGGTACAGAGGCTCCCTTCTCAGCCTCACCCCAGCTTTGATGATGGCCAGTGATCCAGCCCTGCCTGCATGTCCCCAGTGTCAAGAGCCCCCCTTCACTGTGGCCTTCCAGGTGGGGATGGTGCAGAGGAAAAGCACTCCCTTCTCTGTCCACCTGTCTCCTGTAACAGTGCCCACCTGTCCTTAGAGAGAAAGCCAGAGTTGCCCTCTGTCCCTGAAGGGGTAGCATTCTCTGAGTACCCGGCCTGTACCCTTGGAATACCTCGCTCCTTGGGGCCCACACTGAGAGATAGACAAGAGCAACCAGCTAACGCAGGGAGCCCAGGGAATGCACCCACCCCCAAAAACCCAAACAAAAGAAAAGGTTCAAGCTTCACATGATCGTGTACATACAGGGATCAACATGCCCTCCCCTTACACCCCTTGACCTCCAAGGCAAAAAACCTGTCCCTGCCCCTCAGGGTGCTCTGCAGTCCTCTTCATCAAGACTCTAAGCACCTTGGAAGAAGAGGACTCACAGAGGGCTGACCAGCTTCCTATGGGACGCAAAGTTCCAGGCCCAAGTCAGCTCAAACCCCTCTGGAGCGGGATCGGGAAGGACCATGTAGACCTTGTGCTCGGAGCTGAGGGGCCAGCGGGCACTTTCCTACCCCATCTGGCCACTTTGGCTGTCGCCCCACCTGGCTCTTTAGAGCCCTATTCACCTCTCCTTTCTATTCACCACAAGCCTCACCAGGGGACAAATGCAAATGCACCTGTGACCTTTGATTCAACACCTGAAATGTCAGCTATCCTAGGATGACTTTCATTCATTTTATTCACTGTTACATCCCTGGTGCCTGGAAGAATGCTTGGTACATAGTAGGTAGTTATTAAATATTTAAATACTCCTTGAGTGAATACCCACTGGGCACTTTTATTTACTTTTCTCCAAATTAAACATTTACCCAGAAGGGCTAATAGCTGCCCCCTGACACTTTATTCACTGATTCAATGAATATTTTCTGAGATTTTTCCATGCTCTAGGCATGTGGGGTATCATTATAACTTAAAGGCAACGCTCCATGGCCCAGAGAGGTGGGATGACCTTCCAAGGTCACACAGCATTCTGCAGCAAAGGAGGATACAGCTTCAGGCTCCTTGGCCTTTGGAGCCCAGATTTCTTTCCATGACACCATAGACTTGTGACCAAAGGCAGGGCAGACTGGCAGCGCATACACCAGGCTGGCGCCAGGCTGCAGAGCACTGTGGGGCCCACACTGAGGGATGGACAAGTGCTTTGCAACCAGCTGCCCTGGGCAACTGGCCTGGCCAGAGCCTGACCACATCCAGCTGTCGCAGCTCATACGGGCTTCTCCAGGAGAGGGCACCAGCGACTCACTGGGGCCCACAGACCCCCGGGTGTGAGTCAACGAACACCCCTTCAAGACGAGGGAAGCAGGAGAGAGCCATGTTCCAGGCTCTGCGCCAGGCCTTTTTAAATAGTTAATATTCATTTTAATATTTAATATAATAATTTAATGCCATCCCAATAATGTAAGTCAGATTGTGTAATTTTGTTCAAAACTCTGAGATGACTTCCTATTTCCCATAAAAGCGCCACAGCCTGCAAGTTGCGAAGCCATCTGGCCCCCGCTAGCTGTCTGAGCCATTGCCTTCCACTGTGCCCTCACACCCTCCAGCCTTGCTGGTCTACTGGCTCTTCACTCCCACCCCCCGGATTTCTGTACCAAGTGCTTCCTAATGCTCCCCCCAGGAGCTGACCGGAAACACCTCATTTTCAAGTTCAACCCTCACCACATTCACATCCCCTCCTGCTGAGCTTTTCCCACAGTACTTACCTCCTTCTCCTGATCTTTGCAACTTCTTTGTGTTTGTTGCATCTCTGTCTTCTTAATATAAGCAACCTGGAGTCAGGAATCCTTGACTGTTGGTAGATACTCACCAATAAACCCTGAGTTGGGCTATTCTCATTTTATAGACAAATAAACAAAGGCTGAGCGATGCTAAGAGAATACTCAAGATTACGTGGTTCATTTGTTCATCTAACCAGCCAGTCAGCATTTACAAACTACCCATGGCATTCCAAGGGATGGTTGACATACAGTGTTAGGTAGCTTTGGGTTTATTAGTTTTTTTTTTTTTAAAGAGCTTCTTTTCCTTTGTTCTTCATGTTCTATCTGTTTGCAATGCTTTCTCCACAATTTAAACCTTTTTAGAATTCAATTTATGTTGTAGAATTCAATTCATCATCAGTGGTTGCCACGGGTTGATAGAGGGGAGTGACTGACTACAAAGAGGATGCATGAGAGAATATTTAGGGTGATGGAACTGCTTTGTATGGTCCGGGGGTAGCATCGGCATGATTCTGTGCATTTGTCAAAACCCAGAGAACTGCACATCACAAAGAGTACAAAGAGCTTTAATGTATGCAAACTGCAAGAAAAATTATTCCTTTAGGCTTTTAATCTCTATGGACATAATTCAGTGTTTAAATTGTTTTTCTTCTGTATCAAGGTGGGCCCGCATGCCACACACACACACACACACACACACACACACACACACCACACACACACACATCATGTTTTGATTTCAGTATCTCAGAACAAAGGCAGGGGATGAAGAAGCAAGGTCGATAATAACTTTCCCTATCTCTGAATGACTCCTAGCTCTTTTTAGCCCCTCCCAGGCTTCCTCTCTTGAGGTTCAAGATTAGGCCTAGATCGCTCATGGACCAAATTTTTTTTCTGTGCTGGGGATCAACCCAGAGCTTTATGTATGCTAGGCAAGCTACCTACCACTGAGCTACACTTCCAAATCCCAGACCTTTTTTTTTTTTTTTTTTTTTTTAATTTTTTTAACTTTGAGGGCTGGAGATTTAACTCAGTGGCATAAGTGCCTGCCTGGCAAGCGTGAGGTTACCAGTTTGATCCCTGGTTAAAAAAATATATGCATTGAGAAACTGTAGATTCCCATGTGGTTGTCAGAATTAACAGAGTTTCTGTGTGCCCTTCACCTGCTTTCCCCAGTGGTGATACCATGTATGACCAGAGTTCAGTATCACAAGCAAGAAAGTGACATTGGTGTTGTCCCTTAACCTTCTTTAGATTTACCAGATTTATGTGCATTTGCTTGTGTGCGTGTGCACGCATGCATGTGCATATGCATGTACATTTAGCTTAATACAATTTTATCAGTTGTGCAAATTTATGTGACCACTGCAGTCCTGTCCTGATGTTTCTCAAAGTATAATCCTTAGGCTGATCAGTTACCTGAACCATTTGTCAAATGTACACATTACTGGGCTCCCCCACCCCACTGCTGAGCTGGGATATTTCGGGATGAAGCCTAAGAATCTGCATTTCTAGCAGGCTCCACCCTTTGGGGACCACAGTCCTCCCATCTCTTGTTCAGTCTCCATACTGGGTGCCCATGGGGTCCTTCTGAAACACAGCTCTGGTCAGTCATTTCTCTGCTTAAAACCTTGTGGTTGCGCCTCCAGTTTTCAGAACAGAGATGTTAGCGGCCAAGGAGCCTTCTGTGGCAGGCCCAGTTCCCTTTCCTCCACCCACCACCATTCAGCCCTCCCAACCCTCTGAGAACACATGGTTTTCTTTGATCATGATGTCCCTTTGCTCACACTGTCCCTTTGCCCACAGAATCCTTCCCACTCTTTTCTGGCCTGTTCAACCCTATCCAACTAGCCATTTGTACAGACCAGGTGTTGGAGGTTGGAAGAGGTTTGGGGTCACCCAGCCGGTAATGCAGGACCGGCAGGGAGCCGGGAGCCTGAATCCACCTGACCACCAGGCTCCTGGTCTTACTGTTTGCCAGCAGAAATGGAGGCGCTGGGGAAGCCACTGGGCCGCCTGTCCGGTGCTCACCGCCCTTAGACCTGCCTCTCCCTCCACCTCTCAGGCGTCTGGCCCGGACTATTCTTCCTTTCCACCAGCCCGGTGGGGCTGGGGCGCTGGAGCCTGCGAGGTCGCAGGAAGGAGAATGGGATTGAGCACAGGGTAACTCTACTCCGCCCCAGGTGGCAGCCGGGACAGACGCACGACATGGAGGAGGGGGCGTGGAGCCAATCCCCAGGGACTCGCTTAAGCCTGGGCTGGTGATGGGGGCTCCTGAAGGGAGAGAAGGAGCCAGTGGAGTCCAAGTCCCCTCCTCTGCTGCCCCCTCCCTCTACAGCTCCCTCGAAACCCGAGCCGGGGGGCCTAAAAATAGCCCCCGAGGCGCAACCGCCGGCCGCCCTGGTGACCTTCTGGGTAGCACAGGCCGAAGGAAGGCGGGCGGACAGCAGGAAGGCAGGCCGCCGGCCCCCAGGACTCCTCTCCCAGGGCACCATCCCCCGATGCCCCCGTGGCCGCCCAGTTCCAGCATCCACCCCCAGCCCAGCTCGCAGAGGCCATGCAGAAAGCCCGGGGCACGCGAGGCGAGGACGCGGGCACGAGGGCACCCCCCAGCCCTGGGGTGCCCCCGAAGAGGGCCAAGGTGGGGGCTGGCGGAGGGGTCCTGGCGGCCGGGGCCCCAGTCTTCCTGCGGCCCCTGAAGAACGCGGCGGTGTGCGCGGGCAGCGACGTGCGGCTGCGGGTGGTGGTGAGCGGGACGCCCCAGCCCAGCTTCAGCTGGTTCCGGGATGGGCAGCTCCTGCCCGCGCCCCCAGAGCCTAGCTGCCTGTGGCTGCGGAACTGTGGGGCGCAGGATGCCGGCGTGTACAGCTGCACTGCCCAGAACGAGCGGGGCCGGGCCTCCTGTGAGGCTGTTCTCACGGTGCTGGAGGTCGGAGGTAATGGGGAGCTGGGGCTGCGTCTGGCTGGGCTGAGGGGAGCAAGGCTATAGGAGGCCCCCTGGGCCAGGTGGAGCAGGTAGCAGTTCCTGGCCTTTCTCAGCTGTGGGAGCAGAAGTACAGATCAAGAGAGAGCTGCCAGAAAAGGGTGTCAAGGAGAGGCTCCCCTTGGGAAGGTCAGAGGTCAAGGGTCAGTGGTGGGTAAGCCAAGCCCCTGAGTTTCACACAGGCCTCTTTGGGGACTGTGGTGGAATTCCTCCTCCTACTGGGCTAGAGAGTAGCCTGGGGGCAATCTTCATCTCTGATAAGGGAGCTGGCAGTTGTGAGCTCCTTAAAGGTGTTCTCCTGTCTGAAAGAGGGCTGGTTCCCTCTGGTCTGTGGTGCACTGTGGAGCAGATGGGTCAGAGTTTCTTGTAGGCCATTGCTGTGGCAGGGCTGGTAGCATCAACATCAGCTGGGGTGGAAGTGGCCAGTAGGTAGACAGATGCATGTGAGCAAGGCCCAGGGCATCAGGCGGTGGAGCAAGGGCTGGGGCATGAATGGAGGTGGCTTCTTGAGAATCCACAGCATGCACGTGTGTGCGCCCATTTGTGGGCGGTGGAAGGTCTGTGACGGTAAAACAGGTGCAGGACAGGGCATGTGAACCATGTTTACTGAGGTTCCAAAGTGGATGTTCAGAGGGCATCCTCTGGGCAGGGTGGAAATACAGTTCCTCCCTAAGGGGAGGGACAGGAACATGAATCCAGTGCTCACTACCCTGCTGGAGCTGGGGAAGGATGCCAGGCCAGCACTGATTCTCCTTGGATTAATTTTCGGGCTTCTTTTATTATTCCCAAACTCCAGAGTTAGGTTTATGGTTCCTCTCTAGGCCAAACACAGAGCCTTAGGTAGATGGGGCCTCAAAAAACAGAATTCTGAGAAAGTAGGCTGCAGAAAGCTAGGGGGTGTGACTGTCTTTGTAAGAGGGGCATCGTATTCCAGCTGGGTGGTATCCTATAAGGGTCAATTCTTGGCGAGTAGGAAGGAGGCCCAGGGATGAAGGAACTCAGCGGCTAGATGAGAAAGAAGGCTCACAAAGGCAGCCCAGCAGGAGGTGGAGCTCTCAGCATCTTATCTCCCCCTCCCAATGTCCTGCCCCACTCCCAGTGTCCAACCACTGGTTCCTTGTGATCTGTGTGGCCAGGCCTAGACCAGAAAGGGCCAAGCTGGCTTCTTTTGATTGGTTGAGCAGCCAGCCAGGTACAGGATTCCCTAGCCTGGGCTCAGGGATGGCACACGCACTGGTAGAGTTCTGAGGTAGAGAAAGAGGGCCTCTTTAGGGTCTTAGCTCTGTTCCTCTCAAGGGCAAAGGGAGCTGAAAACAGCGTAAATTGAAGGGTAAGATACACAAGTTAATAAGAATAGTTTAAGGAGAGAGCTATTAGGGAAGGGAAAGATAAGATAGAGGGCAGAGTAAGGGTGGTGGTTATAATATTTGTTTAATGTTGGGCAGATCTACGGAGAACGCCAGCTCCAAACACTTCCTTTTCCAGGTGAGAGCACTATGGACCAGGAGGGAGTTAGACATGCAACTTCTTATGGCCACACCCTCTCAGATCTAAGAACTCTGTCCTCTTGCTGTGGGTTCTGGGGTCTTTTTGCTACTCAAAAAGGGTGAGGGTGTTGCTGTCTAGTGTTTGGGGGAGTGGCTGCTACATGACTGGCTCAATCTGCCCTGATCCCTCCAGATGAGGAGGTGATGAGAGGGGAGAGTCCTCCACAGGACTGATTCCTTGTTGCTTTATATCTGGATAGCATGATGGGCAGAGCTGAGCCTGCCTGGACTTACCTAGCACAGGCACAGTGTCCAGACTGGTGAGCAAAGGAACTTAAGAGTACAGAAAAGGCCTTGGCTGTGTGGGGCTGGATCTGAGAAATTTGACATTTGTGTTAGGGTAGGCAAAGGATTGGGCAGCGGCATGTTCTTTTTGACAACAGTTCTAGCTCATGCAGATGGAAGCTGTCAGAATAGGTTTCATTCTGTCCCACTGCAGATGACCATGTGGTTAACTTACACCCTCCCCTGTGATCTGGGGGAGGGAGAGGGAGGGGCTTGGCTTTGCTGATGCTGGGAGACTGACTGGGTGAGTGTCATTTCTGCTCCCTTTTGCTGCCCATCCCTCATCAGTCCCTTTCTAGTGACAGCTCCTGGTCTGAGGCAGCTGCACAACACCTCAGCATGGCTCAGGCTTCCTTGTGGAAACCTCTCTGGGTTGGAATCAACAGCAAGAGGATTCTAGGGCACTCAGGCCCGGCTACAGATGGAAGAAGGCAGTTTCTGGCTGGGATTGCTCTCAGCTCAGCAAGACACAGTGATGCTAAGGCTCTTGGCATTCCCAAAGCCTAAGATGGGACAGAAGGGTGTTGGCCAGGCCTAGGAAGGTTGGGGACCTGAGGAGATAAGGGGGCTCTAGGTTGAGGAGTTTGCAGAATGGGAAACTGGCATGATCGTGATAGGATTTTGGGGTGCAAAGATGAGGAAAAATAGGAAACAAAGGAGGTGAAGATGGCAGAAATGCAGGATACTTATAAAATCCTTAAATGCATAAGGCATACTATCTACTTTAATTATTCAACGTTCTAAACCCTAGTTTACTACTGTGACCATTATCCATATAATGTTGGGGCTTAAAGGGAAAATCACCCAAAGTCTCATGGCTCGTGAGATGGCAAGGCTGGGCCTAAAAGGTTGTGTCTGCAGGCCTGGGCCCACCTTTCCTGTCCATAGAAATGAGGGTGGGTAAACTAAGTTAAAGATTTGTCATTGTGATCAGTTTTCTTTTTTTTTTTTTTTGTACTGGGGATCGAACTCACCATAGCGTACTTGTAAGATAGGTGCTTTTGCCACTGAGCTAAATCCCCAGCCCTGTGATCAGTTTTCTCTGGTCACTAATCCAGTCCATCTTCTGGCCCAGTCTCCAACATATACAGGCATCATTTTTCTCTTTCCAAACACCAGGCTCCCACCCATATAGGCTGAGCAGCCACATGCAAATCAAGCTACCAGAGTAAGTGCTGGCAGGAAAGCAGAGAGCCTCCCTGCCCAAAAGAATGGGGTTGGGGACCAGAGGGGGAGAGGATGCCGCTGAGAGGAGGGGCAAGTGGAGGATGCTCGAGTATATGTGTTGGTTGGAGTTTTGAAGCCAGGAACTAGAAAGACTATTCAGAAGGACCAAAGTTCAATAGAAGACCGTGAACCATCCTGGGTTCTTGAAGACATGGAAGAGAAAGGTTATCGATATATAGAGAGAGGGCCAGTGGAGGCCGCGGCAAGACAGGGGAACACACCAGACTCTGCATTGAGGAATATTTGGGATGAAAAGCCAGAAAAAAACTAGTATGGGTATGATGAGTGTCGTTATCCATTCAGGCCACGACCCAGTCCAGGAAAGGTGGAGGCACCAGGATAGGAGAAAGGAAGAGCCCCAGAGGGAACCAAGAGCAGAGTGGACTCTGGAGTCAGCTGAAGCGCCTGCAGGAGACAGTTTGGTGATCAGGTCCTTCCAGGAGACCTGGAGGGGATGGAGATGGCTGCTTCTCCAGTTGCTTCTTGGGAAAGGATATGGCTCAGGACAGAGAAAGGGAAAGGCTAGATGAAGAGGGCTATCCCAGAAGATTCACCACCACCCACTCTTCATCCCCTCCCCCTGGGCTGTGCACCATTTCTGAATTTATTGAACGTCTCCTATGTGCCAGGGTCTGGTCTAAGTGCTTGGGATACATGAATGCGTGTGTTTGTAGGGGGGTTACTCCTGGAGATTGCATTCTAGTGGGGGCATGGAAGATGTGCAACAGGGTATGTTACATAGTATGTCAGAAACCCAGAGCAGGGCACAGGCAGGCAAGAGAGGTGGCAAAGCGGAGGATAGTGGGTGGTTGCAGCTCATCAAAAGGTCTGCAGGACAAATCAGCTGTGGACAAGGCCTTGGTATTTCTCTGGTTAAGGGGAGATGCTGGTGCAGGAATGGGAATCCTGGAGAAGGGGCCGGGGGAGCACACCTGCCTGGCCTTGGAGGGAAAATGGGGCCTTCAAGAGCCATCTGCAGAGGTCCGACCTGAGAGCGTGCCCCAGGCCGGGCCTTCTTTCAGGGATGAGCAATGCAGGCCCAGAGCAGGAGTACAGAATTGCTGGCCCCTCCTCGGCCCAGCTGTCCTGTCACTCATGCCTGCTGCCCATTGGTTATTTTTGCTATGGAATGTGCCAGCCCCTGGGATTCTCTTGGGGAACAGGGGCTCAAGTTACCCTCTGTCCCTACTCAGCTCCCCGCCTGTGAGTGGGTGTATTTGGGGGTGTCTGGGGTCTTCTGGCTGAAACTAGTATGGACATACGCATGTACTCTCTCAACACTGGTCTGTGCATGTGTCTGTGTGTGTAACACTGGCCACTGGCGGCCCGGGGAACACCACCTGTACATACCCAGAATGTACAAGACACGACCTCAGACTTTAAAATAAAGGGGCCCCAAACTCAACTGAAAGTGAGGGTGGTGCTATTGTCACTGTCTGCACTTGAGGATTCTTATCCTATCATCTCAAACACTGTGCAGGTGGAACAAAAGTTATCAATGTATCCCTCTATTTTATTTCATTTTACAGTTCTGGCAACTGAACCCAGGACATTCACAGTAGCTACATCCTCAGCTCCTCCTCTTCCCCTCCTCCTCCTTCTCCTCTTCTTCCTCTTCTTCCTCCTCCCCCCTTCCTCCTCCTTCTCCTCCTCCTCCTCCTCTTCTTCTTCTTCTTTTTGGTAATTTTGAGACAGGATCTTGCTAAATTGCTAAATTTCCAACACTAGGCTCAAATATGAAATCCTCCTGCCTCAGCATCAGCCTCCTAGTGTGTTGGAATGAATCGTGTGTGCCTCCATGCCTGACTCTCTGTATGCATTTAGTACTCAGACTTTAATTAAAGCAATAAAGTTAGGGGTCACACTGGCCAATCAGTATGGGACACTTTGTAACACAGTGGTCAGTAACCAGCCACGAATCCTGACTCACTTAATTTGTTAGCCATGTGACTTTGAGCCTCAGTCTCCCTCCTTGTTGGGAAAATCGAATGAGTTTATGCATATAGCATGCTTAGCACAATGTCTAGGACCAACCAAGAATGCAGTGAATGTTAATAATTACTTAGGACTGAAGTCATAGCTCAGAAACCAGGACTGGCACTACCTGTGCATGCTGGGATGAGAATTCCAGTCTAGGGACATGCAGTCTCAGAAGCTGTGTGACTCTGGCTAAGGGAAATGACTGCTCTGAGCCTCAGATACTGCCGAGCTGAACAGGGATGGGCATGCTTCTAAAGACTGCGGCTCGTGGGGTTGTAAAGGAGGTAACAATAGCAAAGCGCCAGGCCCTTGGTAAATTGGACAGGAGTCTAAGAGGGGGAGAACTTTGCGGTCTGCTGAATGGGGAAGGGGTGGGGAAAGGGACAAGTCAAAAAATTTGGTGAGCTCAGCTCTGTGAGAATATGGGGTGACTCTGTGATTGCTAGAAATGCCTATGAGTGTGCGTTTGCACGTATGGGCAGGAGTGCAGTAAACTCAGGGTAAATCGAGGAAAGCCTTCTCTGCCTGCTCAAGGAGCCCGGTGGTGGTGGTGGTGGGGACAGTCTGGGTCTATGTGAGCGCAAAGCCTCAAGCCCCAAGGACCCTGCCCCCCGAGGATGACCTAGGTGCTCCGCCTTGCGGTGAGCTGGATTCCCTCTGGCACAGCGGAGTGTGTGCATGTTTGCCAAGTAAGCGAGATGTTGCTGACCTTCCAGAGCAGCCCTGCGGGAAGCGGCCGCTTTGGGTTGCCAATGAGAGTGGCCTGAGCTAGATGCCGCTGCACCCCTTTCTGTGCCTCAGTTCCCCCATGTGCCCAAGGCCCGGGAGGCAGATGCGGGGTGGCGGTGGGGAACGTCAGCGTGGGGAGCTGTCCCTTGGGCGTGCTGAGAGGCAGGTGAGGGCCGCCCCAGGGGAGGCTGAGGTGCAGGGAAGGGTAGGGGCGCCAGGTGGGGATGCGGGCCGGCGGGGGAGGGGCGGGCTCTGGGCGCCGACGCCGCCTTCCCCGTGCCGGGACTCCCGAGGCCGGGCCGCTCCCGCCACTCGCGCCGGCTCCCGCCCGCTCCCCGCTCGCCCCCGGCCCCGCCTCCGACTCCGCCCCGCCCCCGCCCGTCCCCTCCTCGCCCGGCCGCCGGCCCGGCCCCCTCCCCCGCCATGAAGAAGCTGTGGGTGAAGAAGCGTTTCCAGGTGAGGGCTCCGGGGGCGGGTGGCGCCGGGAGGGGGCAGGGAAGGCTGGGCGCCCGGGAGGGAGGGCGGGTCATCGCGTCGGGGCCGGGGGAGGGGGCGCCGGGGCGCCGGCCCCACCCAGGCCGGGGGAGGGCGGGGGTCGGGCGCGTTGGGGTCGCGGGGCAGCGTCCTGGGCGCGCAGGCCCCTCCCCGCGCAGAGCAGCAGTGCCCCCCCAGTGGTCCCCGAGCCCCGCGACCCCCGGAGCGGGCCCCGCTGCAGCAGTCGGTGCGCAGGGCCCCCTTGCCATCTTGCTCAATCGCGCCTCTGTGCGACCCCAACCCCCCGAGCCCGCTTTCCCCAGCCCCCCACCCGGAGCCTGCCGTCTTCCGGAGCTCCGGAAAGCTACGCGCAGAGATCCGCGCTGAGCTCAATAAATTCCCCAAGCCCTGCCCTGCCCTCCGCGTCCCCGGGCCTCCTGCCTGCCTTCGCGAGGCGCTGGCCATTTAGGGGATCTTACCTTCGGCCCCCCCAGCACCCGCCCCCGCCTGCTGACACCAGTCCCAGGTATCTGTCCTTTCTCCCCAGCAGGGAAGGGTGTCCTCTGCCCTCCTCTCCCAGTCATTGAAGCGCACCCCCTCCATCTTCTCCTTTTCCTCAGTCATCCTGTCTTTTCTGCCCTGTCTCTAGGGATACTGTTCAGACCCAGGCTGTGAGCCTCTATTGAGCAGGGACCCACAGCCTCGCTGCCCTCTCCTCCTTGCACCTCCCCAGAGCCTACTGGGCCCCTCCATTCCCTACTCCTTACCCTCCACCGCCGCCCTCACCATGAGTTTCTGTTTGGTACAGCAGGTTGGGGTGGGCGCTACAGGGGTCCATGAGCAAGCCTCCCCCCAACAACTCATTCTGGCTTTTCTCTTTCAGAAAACCGGCCATTCCCGCCGGGCCTTTGGCCGCCTTACCCATGGTGCGTGGACTGTGGGCTGCTGTAGCCCATGCCCACTCTACCTCCTGGTCCCTATCCTTTCGTGAGGTGTCAAGACCCAGAAGATAGCCCATGAGATGTGGAACCCACCCCCACCCACACATCCTCACCTAGACACCCACCCAAAAAGGGCCCCAGCTGAGAGAGGGCTTAGCGGGAGGGGCTCCCTGCACAGTGGGGGTAGGGGAGGCTGGGCTCCTGTTCTCCATTTTTGGGGCCAAGTAAGAAGAGCTCATTATCATGCTCTGACAACCAGCAAATGGCTCTTGTTTGTCATGGCACCCACAGGGAAACTGAGGCACAGAATCTGGTAGACTCTGAGAAAGGTGAAAATATGCCAAGGAACCTTGGTTCCTAATCTGACCGCTGGGCATTTTTGAGGACCATTCAGCAATAAAAGAAAGGGTTCTTGAGAAAAGCATCTGTCAGCAAATGCAGACAGATGGGTCTTCAGTTGTAAGGAGAGGTCAAAACACAGAACAAACACTAACACAGGGTGAGCCTGACCCCTAATATTAGGAAGGCCCAAGCAGGAATGTATGTGTGGCCAGAGGGAGCATCAGTAAGTCCTAAGGGTACTAGAACCTCTGGGACAGTCAGGAGAACTGGCTCAAGCATGTGGGCTTCCCAGCACTGGGTACACAACCACCCATCCCCACAGGGTACCTCTGGGCACTGGGGACCCTCATGCCCCCTCTGTCCTGCCTGCCCTCCATGCCCCACCCCACAAACACTCTGATAACTGTCTGTCCACGTCTCTCTCCTGCTGCTCCTATGGAAGCGAAGTTTTCCGCTCCTGCAGAAAGCAAAGTTACGGTAGGAAGCTGGCTCCTGCCCTTGTCCCCACCTATCCCTTCTTCCCTGCTCAGCCCAACCTTTCCTCACCCCGCCTTAGCTGCACCCTGATGCATTCCAGCTGGTTTGGGGTGCAGGACAGGCTGGCCCTGCAGTTGGTCAAGTACCCTGACAGTACGACACTAAGGTGACGTCCCTGGGGCACTAAAAACCGGACTTCAGAGCTTCAGAGCCTAGGACCATGTTGATTTGAGTGCTGCAGAGGGACTTTAGTGTAGGGAGAGGAGGGAGAGAGAGGATGAGGTGCTGGTGAGCCATTAGGTGGGTGGGAACAGGAGAGCAGTTTTGAGGACCACGAAGGCAAGGGCGAGTAGCCAGAGGTCCAGAGATGGAGCCAAGATGTTGGCAGGGGAGGGGTACCTCTATGAGCAGTCCCCAGGGAAGGTCAGGAGCAAAAGAGGGGAGAAGATGGGGTCCTGGAATCCTGCTTGTGGTAAGATGGACCTGCTGTGAGGGAGGCAGAAGGCAACAGGGAAGAGGTGGAGGCAGAGGGAGGAGGGCCCTGCCCACACAGACCCCTTCTTCTCCAGACTCCGAGACCGCTGAGGATGACATTAGCGATGCGCAGGGGACCCAGCGCCTGGAGCTTTGTGATGATGGAGCCTTCAGCACCCCCACAGGTGAGCTCTCTGAGTGCTCCAGGAGCTGGCAGGGGGGCTTCCCCTGATAGGTGTCTCCACTCACTGTGCCCCTTTTTCTAGGGGGCTCTGACACGCTGGTGGGCACCTCCCTGGATACACCCCCGACCTCCGTGACAGGCACTTCGGAGGAGCAAGTGAGCTGGTGGGGCAGCGGGCAGACGGTCCTGGAGCAGGAAGCGGGCAGTGGGAGTGGCACCCGCCGTCTCCCAGGCAGCCCAAGGCAAGCACAGGCAACCGGGGCCGGGCCACGGCACCTGGGGGTGGAGCCGCTGGTGCGGGCATCTCGAGCTAATCTGGTGGGCGCAAGCTGGGGGTCAGAGGATAGCCTTTCGGTGGCCAGTGACCTGTACGGCAGCGCATTCAGTCTGTACAGAGGACGGGCGCTCTCAATCCACGTGTAAGTAACGGCCTCCCCTGGGCCTGCCCTGTCCCATCCCATTGTGCTGTCTTGCACTGCCCACCACTGCCCCATCCGTCACCGCCCATCACCCACCCATCCATCTCTGTGCACTTTGCACCCGCCCCACACCGCTTCCACTCCTGGCCCCGGCTACACTCTTCCCACGCCGCTCCCTCCTGTGTCGTCACCACCCACGTCCTGCTCCCACCTGTCCTGGCTCACTGTACCATCTCCGGTCTCGGGGACCCCTGTCTTTCCTCATCTCCTCCAAGAGCTCCAGTTTGCCAGGGGGCCCTCTCCTGCCTCACCCATTCAGGCTCCAGTTGTCCCCAGAACCCCCCCACAGGGCCCCCTCCGTGCCTGCTGTCTCAGCAGCTGCTGCCTGTTCATCTCTCTGCACATTCCTGTTCCTATGTGGGCCTTTTGCTGAGAGGAACAGAGCCTTTCCACACAGCAGCTCCCAGGAGAGCAGGAGAGAGCAGGGAGCAAGCGAGCAGCCAGGAGAGAAGAGAGGTGGCTGGGGCAGATGGGACAGAGGCCTGCGGAAGCAGAGGGATGGGGGCTGAGGGGTGCTGGGCTGGAGGGGGAGGGACTGGAGAGGGGGTTGGGTGGAGGCAGAGGGCCTGCAGGGACAACCGCAGGGTGCATGGATCCCATGGGAAATATCCTATGGGAAACACCCTAGGGTGGGGTCCAGGGTTTTCCTGGTAGGGGATGGTGAGGACCGCAGGTGTTGGAATGAGGCATTGGAGCCATTTTTGGATATTTGGGGGCTGGCAGATACAGGAGGAAATGCTGGAGCAGAAGAGGGAATGGCTGGTAGTAGAGGTAATGGGGGCATTTGGGGAGCCAAGAGGGGTCCTGATTTCGGTATGGGTTTGGGTGTGGGGGAGGTACCATCACAGAGGAGAAAGAAAGGGCATGGTGGGGAGGCTATTTTGAGGGTTGTTGGAGTGGTTGGTGGTGGGCAGGGGAGAGGCCTGGGTCGCATTGGACCCCCAGGGAGCTCTCTTGGCTTATTTTATTGGCATTACCAGGCTTTCCTGTGCCCTGGACTCGCCTCTCCTTCCCTCCTTTTCTTTCCCAGGCCCTAGCTGGAGCCTGGTGTTGCTATGGCAACTTAGGAGGAACCTATTTCCTTAGTGATGTCTATGGTACAGAGTCTGGCCTGCAGCTCTTGGCGCTGCTGGCAACAGGCCTCCTTCTGTGTCCCCAGTTTCTCCCTAGGCCTCACCCAGGTCACAGAGGCCATGCCTCTGGGACTGTGCTTACCCCTCCCCCAGGTAAACTCTGCCTCTTTACTGGGGGACGCTGAGGCCTTTCTCCCTTAGGGGGCCCTAAGAATTGTCTTTCTTCCCTTCTCTCAGCCAGAGGTGGGTCTTTAGTGTAGGTAGCTGACCCTGGTAGGATAAAACGTCCTTATACTCAGGCACCCCTCGAACTTCTACAACTGCCTGGTACTATGCTGTTTCTTCTCCCTTCTGTGTCCCCTGAAACCCAGACAACTGAAAGGGAACAAGGGCTCCGAAGTTACCTGGGTTTAAATTCTAGCACCAACCACCCTTTTCCTAGTTATGGCACTTAGTTAAGTGCCTGCAAAGGGGGCACTTAACCTCTTTGAAACCTCGGTTGCTTTTTGTGGAAATGGGGGTGATATCAGCTCCTCCTGTCTCAAGGGATGCTGGGATGCTGGGAGGATTAAATGACTCAGTGCATGTGAAGCACTTAGTATATGCCTGGCACACAGTATTCATTGAGCCATTTATACATTTTAAGTTCCCCGCTAATGTGTGGGTATAATAACTCTTAGATTCCTTTTCTTGCCAATCTTTATGTTTGATGTGCCTTTCCCCCATTGAGGAATGGGGGAAACTGAGGCCTAGCTCTCTGGCATCAAAGCTCTATTCGATGAGGGAGTACTCAAGGCTGACAGCTCCTTCCTTCTTCCTCCTCATCCCCCACACCCCCTGTTCAGGCCCACATGGTAGTTATTTCTGAGCTGAGTTATTTCTGAACATATCCCTTGGAGGGGACTTATGTGTGCTCAGAATTTCCAAGGACTCGAGATACCTTTTTGAGGGGCAGGACAAAGACAAAAGCTCATACTGCAGACAGACTGAGCAGAGGGAGTGGGAACTTGGTTTGCCCATTCCCAGGGACCCTGATTCCCCACTTGCTGTGCTCTACCAGCTCTGGTGGAGGCGGGAGGGGGGAGGGGGCGACAGGGATGGGTTTAGGTCTGCATAGGAGCTAGGTCATTGCAGGGATAGGGTACTGCTTCCTGAAGGCTTGCTTGTCCCTGGGCCAAGGGGCAGTTGGTGTCTGGGGGGCCACTATGAAGGGTATGTGCTCAGATGAGGTTGCACAGGGCTGTGGGGGCCTGCTGGGGACAGGAATGGATGGGAGGCTGCATTTCTGAGAGGGTCCCTTCCCATTCAGCCCTCCCGTCTTCCCTCATCACATCGTCTTGACTCCTAAGCATCATTCTTTTCTTTCCCTCATGCTGATGCTGGATTCTGTCCCTGCTGTTTCCCAGCTTCTGGGGCTGGGGCGAGGTTCTGGCTAGAGCCCCTGGGGCTGAGTCTGTATCTGGACCCAGCCACTAGCCTGGGCTTCTGGTGCATGAGCCGCTGGCCTCTCCCCAGTACCTGTTCTGGCTGTGCCCTCCTCGAGGGGGTGGGGGGTGGGAGAGTTTGGTCCATGTCACCCTCATGCCTGCCCAGCATGCCCCACTGCTCAATCCCTCTCGCAAATTGAAGGTCTAAGAGAGGGGCCCCCTGAATCCTCTACCCCTCTCGGTTCTGCAGCAGCGTCCCTCAAAGTGGATTGCTCAGGGAGGAGCCTGACCTTCAACCTCAGCCAGCCAGTGAAGCCCCGCGTCCTCGCCCGGCCCTTCCGCCTCCCTCCAAGTCCGCGCTGCTCCCCCCACCGTCCCCTCGGGTGGGTAGGCGGGCTTCTCCCGGACCCAGCGCTCAGTCCCCGGCCGCCCCCGCATCGTCCCACCGGCGCGCCCAGGAGCTCGCGCTACCGCTGCCGGAGGACGCCACCGCGGAAGAGAAGCGAGGGAAAAAGTCCAAATCGTTGGGGCCCTCGCCGGCGGGCACCACAGAGTCCCGGCCTCAGACGCCACTGAGCGAGGCGTCCGGCCGCCAGTCCGCACTGGGCCGCTCCCCGAGGCTGGTGCGCGCCGGCTCCCGCATCCTGGACAAGCTGCAGTTCTTCGAGGAGCGGCGGCGCAGTCTGGAGCGCAGCGACTCGCCGCCGGCACCCCTGCGGCCCTGGGTGCCCCTGCGTAAGGCCCGCTCGCTGGAGCAGCCCAAGTCCGAGGGCGACGCGTGGGGCACGCCCAGGGCATCGCAGGAAGAGCTGCGGACCCCGCGGGGCAGCGTGGCCGAGCGGCGCCGTCTGTTCCAGCAAAAGGCGGCCTCGTTGGACGAGCGCACACGGCAGCGCAGCCCGGCCTCCGACCTCGAGCTGCGCTTCGCCCAGGAGCTGGGTCGGATCCGCCGCTCCGCGTCGCGGGAGGAACTGGTGCGCTCGCACGAGTCGTTGCGTGCCACGCTGCAGCGCGCCCCGTCCCCACGAGAGCCCGGCGAGCCCCCGCTCTTCTCCCGACCCTCCTCCCCCAAGACCTCGCGGGCTGTGAGCCCTGTCGCCGCCCAGTCACCCCCCTCAAGTATCGCGAGCAGGTCCGGGGACGAGCCTGGGAGGCCCCGGAGCCGTGGGCCGGTGGGCAGGACGGAGCCTGGGGAAGGCCCGCAGCAGGAGGTTAGGCGGCGGGACCAGTTCCCACTGACCCGGGGCAGGGCCATCCAGGAGTGCAGGAGCCCGGTGCCGTCCCCTACCGCTGACACTCCTGAGGCCGGGACAAAAGGCCCTTTAGGGCGGAAACGAGAGCCCCCTGTGCAGGCCGTGCGCTTCCTTCCCTGGGCCACGCCGGGCCTGGAGGGCGCTGCTGTGCCCCAGACTTTGGAGAAGAACAGGGCAGGGCCCGAAGCTGAGAAGAGGCAGCGCAGAGGCCTAGAGGAGGATGGGCCCTGGGGGGCCTGGGACCGCAGAGGGGCCCGCAGACAGGGCAAAGGTCGCCGTGTCCGTCCTACCTCTCCTGAGCTCGGTAAGGCAGCCAAGAGGCTGAGAATCTGCCCGAACCTGGGTGTCAGGGACTCTGCGAACTTTAGGACTGCTTGTGGGAACAAGTGCCTGGCTTGGGGCTGCCAGGCTGCCTGTGAGGGTGAGTGTGGTTGGCACTGACTCGGGCTCCAGTTGGAATGGAGGACTGTGAAGGTCCTCGTGCCAAAGCCTGCCACTGGTGAGATGGAGTGTGAATGTGTTGGAGGCCGAGTGGAGCTGGGATGTAAGACTGGAGCCGAGATGCCTGATGTAGGTCCCGTAAGGTCCAGCGATCCTGCTGGATCACAGATCATTAATGAGAGGAGATGCTGGTGGGACCTAAATATCCCCCATCCACTGTGGGGTAGAGAAGGTTGCCGTCACAGACTAACCCTTCACTCTGCCCTTCCCTTCCCAGCTCCATCCTCTGACCCATCTGTAGCCACAGAGGTCTGAGCCAGCCTCCCCTTCTAGCCTTCTCTCCCCATGCCCGCACATCCTGCATTTCTGAGATGAATGCGGTTCTTACACATGGCAGCCTGCGTGTATCCCCTGCTTTCTCAGAGGTGATAAGCAACATCACAGATCGAAGAATGCAGCTGCCCCAACCCCCACACCCCAAACAAGAAGTTGGGCTCATTCCTGGAGAGGCGGAGGCAGGCATCCTTGACCAGCTCCCACTCTGTCTGGAGACCCTTCCAGGATCTCTCATTGCACCTACTGCTTTGTATTTTCCTATATCAAAATCATTTTGCATTTACATACTACCACCTTAAAGCCTTTAGGGGTTGTTAGGCTCCCATCCATCATCCTACTAATCACCATTACCGTGTACCCATCACATCTCAGACTTTGTGTTACTGGACCCATAGGGATGCTATCTCCTGTGTGCCAGTGCTGCAGAGTATTGGGTGTTATCCCTCGATCTTCCAGATAACATAATCAAGGCTCAGAAACATTGTCTCATTTGCCCCAGGTGATGTGTAGTAGAAATCTGCAGAATTGGGATCTATACTACCCTTTGGCTGTCTGCATTGTCCTTTATCTATCTTAGAGATTGTCAGGGTTGGAAAATACACATAAAGAGAATCAGGCCAGTGGGGTGTTATATCTTTTTATATGAGCTCCCTCTAAGCAGAGATCACATCTTACTTCCTGTCACATCCCGGATACCCATCAGTGCTCTGTATGCCGTAAGTGCAATGTTACTGTCTGGTGAGAGGACAAAATCAAGACTGATCTTTGTAGCCCTCTCTAATCCCACTGCTGCTCTTTGGAATCTGCTGGCCTCACAGATTTGGCAGTTCCCCACCTGTTGCTCTGTGCAACTTGTGTTACCACTTAGGTCTTGGTTACTCTTAGCTTGTCCTCTATTTGAAGCCTACACAGATTTGTGACCCTCCAATGGCTTTGCATAGAGCCTGCAGTGCCACAAATCACCTACTCACGGGAAGACACTGCATGTCCCTACCTTCCTCCAGAAACCAACACTAACTGTGGGTGAAGTGGGGTTTCCACTGCCCTGTCCAGGTTAAGAATCTTCTTTCTGGCTTTCTCTTTCTTGCCTCAGGACACTCAGGAGATAGGCTATTTGCTCCCCCAACTCTGCCTTGTAGAAGCCCATCTCTGGGGCTTGGCTTTCTAGGAAGTGGGGCTGCCTGAACTGCCTCCCTCAGTCATCCCCAGAGGGATGGAATCCTCTTAACTATCACCCCTGTGTCTGGCAGAGTCCTCAGATGACTCCTATGTGTCTGCTGGAGAAGAGCCTCTGGAGGCCCCAGTGTTTGAGATCCCCCTGCAGAACATGGTGGTGGCACCAGGGACCGATGTGCTACTTAAGTGCATCATCACTGCCAACCCCCCACCTGAAGGTGAGCAGCAAGGAGAGGCTGAGGTGGGGGCATGTGGGACAAGGAGGAGGTTTTCTGAGTCCTTTGTGGGAGAGCTGGGTGGGAGGGGCATCCCCCACTCCCTGGGGGCTGCCTTGACTTCCTGTGTTTAAGTGAATTGCCCAGAACCCTGCTCCCATTTCCTGGGGTAGGGAGAGGAGTGTTTTGGGCTCCTGGGGAGGGCTGGATGAGTTTCCCAAGCAGCCTGTGTGAACCATGGTGAGCTGGTTCCTGCCGCTTCCCCACAGTGTCCTGGCACAAGGATGGGTTGGAGCTGCGCAGTGAGGGCCGACTTCTCCTCCGCACTGAGGGCGAGCGGCACACCCTGCTGCTCAGGGAGGCCCAGGCAGCTGACGCAGGAAGCTACATGGCCACCGCCACCAACGAGCTGGGCCAGGCCAGCTGTGCTGCCTCCCTGGCTGTGAGACCTGGTAGGGAGCCCATCAAGCCCAGGGCTGGGTGGGGATGAGCTGTGACTCTTCCTTGTGGTTCTGATGCCATGGCCCAGGGTCCCTTCCCACTTGCAGCAAGAGATTGATTTCTCAGACAGCATGCGCAGTCCTTTCTCATGTGTCACTCCCCACGGGAAAAGCATTTTTAGTGCTCCTATCCTCAGGGCAGGCCACATTACCAAGGCACGCACTGGGCTGGCCAATTCACAGTCAGTGAAATTTGTCTTCTAGACAGCCTCCAAATGCCATCCTCCTATGGCAATTCCCTGAACTGGGTCTGTGGGGAAGGCAAATTATCTCTGAGTCTCTGAGAAAACGAAGCTGTCAGCTCAAAGAGCTGGAGGGACACCAGGAACCTTTTGAAGGCATTTTCTTCCTGGGACAGGCCAGCCCCAGTAAAAAGAGAGGTATTTCAAGTACCGCTCAACTCCTCCTCTTGAACCTCAAGCCCTGAGGAGGTGCAGCTGAGAGCACCTTCTGGAGGTGGTGGTACTGAGCCTGGCCTTGTTTTCTATTTTTATGAAACCTCACTTGGTGTTGAACGGCTTCTTTTGGGTTGCAGCCCAGTTTGTGGCCCGGGCAGGGCTGGGCTGCTGTCAGTGTGTGTGGCCAATTCTGCTCATTCAGGTAGCTGGGCCTGACATCCTCCTGGCGCTGGGCAGTGGAGCAGGAGCAGGGGCAGGGAAAGTTGAGTAAAGCATCGTAGAAGAAAAAGGCACAAACTCAAATCTTAAGACATTTACTAACGTCCAGGCTCGGCTTGAGGGTAATATAGGACAGATGTGTCTAGGCTGAGAACAGTGTTCAGGGCTGGAAGGAGGCTAGAACTTAGACTGCAGGGGGAGGGCTAGAACATGCCAGGACGGGGACAGCACACACTGTTCTGTGCCTTTCTTGCTGCAAGAGGCAGGACAACAGAGCCGATGCACATGGTCCCAGGGCCTTAGCACCATTGCAATGCAGAGCTGCTGCAGAGGGCCTGGAGCTCAGCCCCTGGGCTACGTTAGCTGTTTTGGTAGCACGGCAGAGCTTTGTGGAATGGCAGGTCTACCTCTTCCTTTGCTTCCTCATCCCTCCCAGGAGTCGTGTTTGAGGCCGCCTCCTGCGTACTCCTCCGGCCTCACTGACTCACCCCAGCCCCCACTACATGCTTCCGTCCTTCCATCACCTCTAGGATCTGGCCTCTGACTCAGCTGCCAGCTCCCAGCTCCCCTCTGGGGCCAAGGTCTGGCTCCAGAGCACCAGTCAATACCTGACTTGGGCTGGGATTTGGTGAGAAGAGCATGAGGGGTGTCTCAATACTGGCTTGGGGCCACTTGGGAGCCTTTTAAGGTTGGGAAGACAGCTTGGGGCACAGCAGCTGTCAGCACTTGACTGGGAGTTCTTTATGCCACATTGAACCTCTCTGAGCTTCAGTTTCCTCATTTGTAAACCAGAGATAATTATACCAGACTCACAGATGAAAGTGAATGTGCAAATGAGCTTTACGAACTGTAAAGCTGTAGACAAATGTTAGTTGTTAGTGTTCAGGGGTGATCCTGTGAACATGGGCTCAGCTTTCCAGGAGGACCTGGGAAGGGCCTTCCCCTTCACTACTCCTTTCTTCACACTGTGCCACGAGGACTTCATCCGTACCTTTCACAGCTCACTGTTTTCCAGCCCTGTGTCCTTATCCCCCTGCCCCAGCCCAGCATTGCTGTGCCTCCTTTGCCCTGAGGAGCCAGAAAACCTGCATCACATTAGTTGATTGCACCAGGCACTGCAGCAGCCCCATAAAGTCCGGCTGGCTCCAGGGCCCCAGGGCCCAAGAGGCTGGCACCCGGGTCCAGAGTCAGTGCTGGTTGTTGTGGAGCAATCTGACTTTCTTACCCTACAAGGCACTGTTTGGTCCAGAGTGGCTGGAGGGGGGCCAGTGGACCCAAGAGCAGCTGGAGTGGGCGGAAACAGTGGTAGCACAGACTTTGGTAGAGGAGAGGGTTCCAGGCCTGGAGCCTGCAGGGAGTAGTGGAAGTAGGGAGGGCGCCCAGCAGTGTGGCTGTGGGGACCTAGGGTTCAGGTGGAGGAGGGAATGGGTGGTGTCTTGTGGCGAGAGGCCTGCACAGGCCACTACCCTGTCCCACTGCCTCCCTGTCCTCATGCCTAGTGCCGTGGAAACCAGGGCCAACTGCCCAGTGTGCTCCTGGGATGCCTACCCCAACAGGGCAGCTTTTGAGGGCACACAGTTGTGTTCCTGGTTGGGTACCATGGTAATCAGGAAATGGACAACTACAGAATGCAGCCCCTGATTTGGGGGGGCAGGCGTGTGCAGGCAGGGCCAGGTGTTCATTGGCTCCAGCAGCCACCCCAGCCCTAGATCCTTCCTCCCCCTGAATAACTCACAGACAGAGGCATGGATTGGGACCCCTAGTTGTTAACCCAAGTGGAGCCTTTATTCTTGGCTACTGCCAAATGCATCACAGGCATCTGTTGAATTCACACCTGTGGCCAGTGTTTCATCTCTGCACAGTCTCTTCTGGTTTTAGAGCACCATATAATTTTCCCCAAACCCTTTCACATCTCTTTCTTTGATCTGCATCACATTGCAGGTGACAGGTGGTGACATTCCCATTTTACAGCTGGGAAGACTAAAGTACTGGGAAGAGTACTACTGTGATGGAGCGGGCATCAGGCCAGTTGCCTTTACTGTGTCTGCCTGAGAAAGTTATAAGCAATAAATAATTTGGGGTGATGGAAAAACTCACCCCAGAAACAGCAACACTTAGTGTGAGTGGCAGGTAAAACTAATATAACTACTTAGCATGAACAGAGCACTTTCTGTGTGGCAGGCCCAGTGTCGATTGGGTAATCACACTTCATCCAGCCTTGTGAGAGAGATTCTGTTGTTATGTCGCATTTCAGATGAGGAAACTGGGACTGGGAAAACTTGAGCAAATTGCTGTACGGCAGTGCCCACCAGATCTTGCCACGATGATGAAAGTATCTGTGTGTGCACTGCCTAACGTTAGTTGCCACCAGTCCCCTGTAGCTTTTGAGTACTTTAAATATGGCCAGCATGACTGAGGAGCCAAGTATTTCATTTAATTTCATTTTAATTGCCGTGCATTTTAGTAGTCTGCAACAAGTGCCCTGCCCTGTTGGATGCCGAGCTCTCGGAACATGGCAGCGGTTGGAGGCTGGAGCCATGCCCTGAGTGCCCAGAGAAACTCCTAAGTGCTGCACTGTGCTGTCCCCTTTCCTGCTACTCTGGGGGCGTAGGGTTCGAGTGTAAGATGCATTTGAGCTCATGAGGAAGGGACTGCCCAGGCCCTCTGTGGGTGGGACAGACTGAAGGCCTCTTCTGCTCCCTCTTCTAACGCCCTGCCTCTTACTGTGGCCATGGTCCATTTATTTTCCCTGCTGCCTGGCATGCGCACACCCTGCTGTCTCCCACAGAGGGCCTTATGGGGGGCCCTCCACATGCTGTTGGGAGAAAGCAATGCGAGGCCTCACCCTGCTGCCTCTCAGGCCCAGGTCTCATGTGCTTAAATCCATGGATCATTCTAGTATTCTGCACCCAAGACCTTCACCTCTAGCTGCCCATGGTTTTCTTGTCTATGAAGTGCAGATCATCCTGACTCATGGGATAAACACCCAGTAAGAATTGTGTGACTCGGGTTAGGGGTGAGTCAGCCACAGACATTTGGACTAAGGGATCTGGTACTTTGAGGCTTATTCTGGTCCCACTCATATGATCAACTCTGTCACAAACCAGATGAGGTTGCTTATCGGGGATGATGAATACAAAAGAAAAGGAAGAAAGTCTTACCACCCACCCCTGCCCTCCACTTCTCCTGCTCTGGGCTCTAGGCCACCTGTTCATAGTTACAAGTTCTCCCTGGCAGTGGCAGTGGCAGTGGCTGCCAGTGGAGGAACACTGCAATGCCACGTGGCCTCTGTTGTCCTTCTTGATGGAGGTCTGGGGAACACCTGAGGAGGAAGCTGGGTGCTCTGTCCACACTTCCAGATTTTGCCCTCCTTCCCCTCTCTGTCTGGCCCTAGCGGGTGCCCCCTACACAACCCCCCCGCCCAGGATGTTATCTGAAGTGGAACTTCTCGCTCCCAGCCAGTCACACGAACGCAGACCAGGTATACTGTGGGTGCCAAATCTCAACACTTGCCTGGCTAGGCCAGGCTCACCATGGGGAATTCTCTCTGGTGCTTCAGACAGTTTAATCCTGAACCATTCTCAGCACAGCCCTTCTCCTTGTCCTAGGGGAAGTCATGTCAGCATCCTTTGGAAATCCCCATGTTCTGTGGCTTGTGCTCCTTTTTCTCCTCACTTCCACAGTGGGATGGCTGTGGTGGCCATTTTCCACATCCTCCTCCTCCTCCACCGCCATAATCACAGGGTGCCACACACCTTCAGCTGCTCTCTGTCTAATGGATCCATGGAGCCAGCAGAGGCCGGAACAGGCCCTGGGAGTGGCCAGAGCAGCAAGAGGCATCTGCTGTCACATCATGATGCCTGCTTCTTTCTTCTACCCTTGGATCTGTCACCAGACAGTTCAGCTAACGTTCTCCCTGCGCATGTGTTTTATGCCTCTGAACATCTATTTGCAAAGGTTCTTCTGCTTGGACTGACCCCCCCCCTTTATCCAAACGGAAATTCTATTACCATCTCTTCTCTCATGTCCCTCTTTTTTCCTGAGCAAAAGTTGTCTCCAGCCCCCTGTAATCCTATGACCATCTTTTCTACCCCTTTTGCACCACCGTGTCACTCATGCTGTTTGTTCCTCAAGTCGCCTGTGTGTCTGGCTTGTCTTCCTCACCAGCCCAAGGCCCCTGAGGACATGTCTGCTTTTTTCAGTCCTTAGCCTTTGCCACCACCATGGAGGCTCTTGTGGACAGTAGGGACTGAGTATTCCACAGTGAGTAGGCGGGAGGCAGTTGTGGGGTCCTGGAGTCTTAGAAGCTCTAAGTTGTGGGAGCAACCTAGGTGACACATAGAGTCTGGGTGGGACACCCAGCCACAAAGGGTAATGAGTCTGTGCCCAGGAGTAGGGTCAGGATGACAGAAGAGACCACAGAGCCATGGTCTTCACGGTGTGGTCCTCTGACCAGCAGCAGCTCAGCATCTGCTTAGAGTGTGTTAGAAATCCAGACTATCAGCCCCAGCCTCAGTCTGTGGGATTTCAATCTGGGGTGAGTCCTGACAATCTGTGACTAAGGATAGCCTGCCAGGGGACTCCAGGACACAGTAAAGTGTGAAAACCACTACTAGGGAGCTGAGAGACCCAGCTCAGGATGAAAGGCCTGTTGGTGTATTTCATAGGCACATGGACTCCTCATCCAGAGCCCTGGTCAAGTGCGTGGGACTTAGTGAAACCATCTCCTAGTGTTGTCTTCCTTGAGAATTGGCAGTGGACCCTAAGCTTTCATTTGTATAAGAATCATCTGGGTGCTTTTGAAAATTTCAGAAAGTCTAATTCTGGGGCCAGGTGTGGCTCAGGAATCTGTTGTCTAAGGAGTTTCCAGCTGGTCCTGATGCGGGTGTGTTTGAGAATCATTTTGATGGTCCTGATATAAGGGGCCTTGTGTGATGCCTTTCACCTATTAGACACTTGCTGGTGGCTACAGCTTTCTCTCTGGTGAGAACATGACAGGGGATGCTGGAGACAGCTGGGATGTTGGGACCAGCTGGATGCGCCTGCTGGTCTGGGAAGGGACAGTTTCCTGATTCAGGGGTGTCTAATGCCAGTACATTCTGCAAGCAGGTTCAACCAGGGAGCAGTGTTGAAAGGGCAGATAGCGTCCTTATGGGGGCTGTGGGGGACAAGTATGAAGGGTAAGTCCTTCCATGCTGTGGGTTTGGGAATACGTGCTCCCCACTTCCTGGATGATATGGCTATTACTCCTATAGTGTGAGCCAGGTTTATGGGTAGAGCAGGGCAGGAATGTTAGGGACTGGCTACTAAAATGGTTTTGACAGTGGAACAGTGACAAGTAGGTGGCCCCAAGCCTGCTGGAGCCCGGGGCTCCTCCATCAATCTCCTTGACCACACAGTTAGGGAGTACAGCAGGGTCTTTTCTCAGGGAAGCCTAGTTCTGCCACTGTAGAGCCTCAGTCTCCTCCCTTCTACGGTGACAGTATCCCAGGGGTTTGAGAACTTGGGCTGCTGGGTGAGCGGACGCTTCTGGGATGCTGTTCCCCCAGCCACCACCAGGGGTCTCTGAGGTCCCCTGCAAACCTGGCCAAATCTCAGGCTCCAGAGCCATCTCAGCACTGTCCAGCTTGGAGGTGACCCTGGAGTAGGTGTTCCTGCTCCATGGGGACAGTCTCAGAGTCAGTCAGGGGCAAAGCCTCCAGCACCAAGTGCCCTGCCTCCCTCCCCACCTGAACCTCAAGACAGCCAGCCGCTGCCTGGTCCCAACCACTCCTTCCAGGGCAGTGCCAGGAAGCAAGGTCATAGCTTGAGAATGTGGGCCCGGGTGGGGTGAGGGGGCAGAAGGAAGGAGAAGGACATATGACCCCTGCTTAATAACCCCTTCCCCAGCCCAGTTGCAAATGGCTGCCAGTTAAGAGGGACTGCTGGGGGGTGAAGCAGCCTGGGGCTCCTACTTATTGGCCATGGTGGGGCTGATGGGTGAAGGGCGGGTTGCCAGCAGGTGGCCCACAGAGCTGGGTTAGGCACAGGCTTATTTTCTGGGCTGGCTACAAGGTCAGGCCTGTCATGGCAGGACCCAGTTGATGGGGGTGGGGGTGCTCTGGGCCCCTCAGGTTGCGAAAGCATCTCTGGAAGGCGGGTGAAGGTCCCAAAAGGTCTGTTCGCAGGGCTGGATGAAGCAGGCTGTGGCCTGGCTCTGCAGTGTTCAGTGTCTTCCCAGTCGGGATCTTGGTTTGATCAGGACAAGGCACGATTAGAGCCATTTGCCACCACAGTTCCTCTGGTGGACTTGTTGACCCTGGTGGGTGAGGCAGGAGTCCTGGATACTGCAGTGCAGTGCCAGCCCACACACCCATCTCCCTCTGAGGCCAGAGGACCTGGAGTCAAGGCCCACAGAGAGGCTCCTCTCTAGTCAGTGGTGTAGCTTGGGAAGGAGCTAATTTCAGCCAGGCTGGGCTCTGCCCCTCCCTCGCTCCCCCTCTGCTCCTGCCGGCCGCCTGTGGTCTCAGCAGGCACCACCTTCCCAGCCAGCCCAGCGCCCTGCCTGCCGCTGCCTGCCTGCCTGCCTGCCTGCCACCCAGCTTCTTGCTGGCCACCCCCACCTTTCCCTTCCCCCTCCTGAGCACCTTCCCCTCCCCCAGAGCTGGCTCAGTGCAGGCCTCTGGGTCAGCCAGGGAGTGGGGCTGGGCAGGCTGGGCTCGCGCTCCCAGGGGAGTCCAGGCGGGGTGGGCAGTGGGCAGGCAGCAGGAGGGCCTGGTGCCAGGGCAGAGTCTTCAAGAAGGTATAGGCTGGGGTCCGTGTGCAGTCTTGGGGTGAGTTGGGGAGCAACCTTTCTGGGGGCTTTGGGTCGGGGAATCAGGAGGAGGGGCCAGGGGGCTGTGTCAGATTCATGTCTGTATTTGGCAGTCGGATAGGAGCCAACTCTGTGAGGCTGGGCCCCTGGCCAGTTGCGGGGGAGGGTGTCAGGGCCCTGGCGACTCCCCTCCCCAAAGGCAATTTTGGTGCTCCCCTCTTCTTCCCCAGGCTGCCCTTGTCTGTGGGTGACTCCAGCCCTGCTTTCTATTCCTGAGAGTTTTGGGGTCCATGCTACAGGGCTGAGGTCAACAGGCGCCCCTGGGGTGTCCATGGCAGGAAGCTGAGAAGGGGGGGAAGGGCAGGCTGGACAGTGCTGCCTCCTTGGCCCTGAATCAAGGTCAGGATGGGGCTCATCTGAGGTGTGTGTTCCTGCACACCAGACCCAGCTCGCCTGAGAAGCGGGTGCCTGGGCTCTGCCGCTCTGGGGTCAGAGATGAGCACCACCTGCTTTTGCAGTCTGTGATGAGTAGTGTGGGCCCCTAGTCCATGCCAGGAATGTGAGTGCCCTGTTCCGATGGAATTCCAGGTCTCCCTTCAGCCCCTTTGCTGGCAAAGTCCTTTGCATCAGGCCTTCCCCAGTGATGTCCCCTCCCAGGAGGAGCAGCAGGGTCACTGTTGGCAGAGGCTGTGGCAGATGAGGACTTAGACTTGGGGAGAGGAAGTCCCTGGGCCTAGGTCACACAGCGAGCAGAGCCTGGGAGGCCAAGTCAGGCCAGGGCCTGCAGGAACCCTGCATCCACTCACTCTGGGCCCTGGAGAGGGGTATCCCGGCCTGTTCTCTCGACCTCTCTGTCCTCTCCCTCCCCTGGCATCCTCTCTGTCTCTCCTCCAGGTGGGTCCACATCCCCTTTCAGCAGCCCCATCACCTCCGACGAGGAGTACCTGAGCCCCCCGGAGGAGTTCCCGGAACCTGGGGAGACCTGGCCCCAAACCCCCACCATGAAGCTCAGTCCCAGCCAGAACCACCATCCTTCTGACACTGGCTCCAAGGCACCCCCCACTTTCAAGGTCAGACCCCTGAAGCTGGTGCCCAGACCCCCATGGGCCCCCAATTCCTTTGTGTGCTCCCTCATTCTTGGAGCCATGCTTAGGCTCCAGCAAGACCTAGAGCTCTGCCCCAATAACCCTTTTGTCCAGAGCCAGCCTTAGTAGTTTGGTATGGAAGAGATCTCTGCCCCAGTCCCCAGTCCAAGGAGCCAGTGCTATACCCTGACTGTCACCCCTGATGCTTTGGGGTCCCCCTCAGGTCTCACTTATGGACCAGTCAGTGAGAGAAGGCCAAGATGTCATCATGAGCATTCGTGTACAGGGAGAGCCCAAGCCTGTAGTCTCCTGGTGAGTGGCAGCCACCTTCACCCCAGCCTGGGCCCCTGAGCTGGCTTTGCTCGATTAGGGTGGGACCCTTCCCAGGTACTGCTCCTCTGTATACTCTGTCCCCAGCCTGCGGCTTGGGGCTCATTCAGGGCCTTTCTGGGGAGGGGTTGGGTTAGTACATGGGCTCACATCCACCTACTTGGGATGAGTGGCCAGGAGTCCCCTCACCCTGCCCCTATGGTTGGTGGCAGGGGGACTCTGGAGGCCCACTTTGTGTCCAGTGTTGTGCCTGGCGTGATCATCACAATTTGTTTCTAAGCTCCTGCAAACTCAGAGTTAAATGTGGGTCTCAGCTGTGGTACCTCGCTCGTGCTGGGGGCCTGGAACATCGACTGCTCGCGTGTTTTGCTGTTGGTTTGGGTTCCGTTGTTCATTTTTAATTGATTGTCTGGTTTCCTCTGTGATGTTTTTCAGCACTGTAAGTTCTTTCATATCCCTTTTGGGAGAAGAAAAGCTATCTTTCCTTTGTAGATAAATAAGATGGGGGAAGTTAAGAACAGTTCAGAGCTAAATAGCAAGGCTGTATCCAAATGCAGTGGTTCTGGGCAGAGAGATCCAGGTGGGCTGCTGTGTTCTGGAAGTTCTAGGTGGGGTGTGGAGGTCGAGTCAAGGTGAAGACCTCACCCAGTGACCCCTGCATGCGCTGGTGAGCAGGGCAGGTTTGGGAGCAAGAGACCAGTGGAGGATGAGAGACTCGAGTGGCTCCACAGCCTCTGCCCGCTGTGCCTGTGGGTCAGGCTCAGGGGCTCTGGGCTGAGTCCTTGTCCTCTGCCAGGCTGAGAAACCGCCAGCCTGTGCGCCCAGACCAGCGGCGCTTCGCAGAGGAGGCGGAGGGCGGGCTGTGCCGACTGCGGATCCTGGCAGCAGAGCGAGGTGACGCCGGCTTCTACACCTGCAAAGCAGTCAACGAGTACGGCGCTCGGCAGTGTGAGGCGCGCCTGGAGGTCCGAGGTGAGAGCTTCACGCCCTCACGGCCCCCACCTGGCCCCACACCCACCTTCCCACCGCTGTCACACAGCCTCCATTCCAGGGTGCCACACTCTAACGGCTGGGCTGTCCCCTAGCCTGGCCGCTTTTGTTAGAGTTGAGTAAACTGAGGTCCAAAGAGAGGGAGCCACGTTCCCAGAGTCAGAGCAAACCGGCCCACACTTAGCTCACCACACTATACTGCCTGCCCCCGACGCCAGCCATGGGCCTGCTTCACGTGGTCCACCATCCACTCTTCACACCCTTCCACGCCTTTTCACCTGTCACCGTGCTGTGCTCGGCCGGCCCCTCGCTCATGCCCACGCCCCACTCTCCTCTTGCACCCCTGCTCTCCCTACCCTCCTTCGCTGTGCAGAAGCACTTGTGGTTGCGGGGAGGGGACAGTGGGAAGTATCGGACCCGTTCGGAGGGACCTTTGGGGTGAGTTGGGCACGGAGCACGATAGGGAGCCAGGGGTCCCAGGGTGAGCGCATCCCTGAAGCGTGGAGAGGGCTGAGCCCCCAGGATTGGACATAGCACAGGGACCTCTTAGGAGCAGGATGCCAGGCCCAGCCAGGCTGCCGTCCTCTCGGCTGCCTGTTGCTGTCCTCCCTCCTCCCTTTCCTGTGATGGCTCAGGACCAGGGACCTCCCCTCAGTGCCTCACTGTGCCATCACGCCCCCCCACCCCGTCCCCCACAAGGCATAGTCCCCTCGCCTGGCGGGCAAAGCTCTGGGGATGCCCTGAGACACCCCTCAGCCCTCTGCCGGGCCTCCTCACCTGCTTCACCTCCCCAGGACTGCTCTTCCTGTGGTTGCTACCTCTTTGGCATCTGGCCTTCGGTCCCCGGCCCCGGCCCGCACCTCCTCCTCCTCCAGGGTCCAGCTCTGCCTCTGCTTCTCTGTGCTAACCCATGTCTTGATGCTTTTCTCTTTGGGATTCTTCCCAACATCCTGCAGGCTTCGGGGTGTTCCTGATGCCTGCGAACGCCTCTCCCCTGGTTGCCCTGGGTCTCTGCTGCCCAAGAACCCGAGGGACCCGGCCTCTGGCTAGCCGATGGCCCTCCCATCCCAGGCCTTGCCTTGGGAGAGCTGAAAGCGGCAGTGCTGCCTGCAGTGTTAGAGGCAGCTCCGTATCCCGAAGGGCCCTAGCCAGGTCTGTGTGCCAGTGCGTGCGTGCGTGTGCCGTGTGTGCCTGTGTGCGTGCGTGTGCGTGCGCTGCACTAACCTGCCGCTTGCTGACTGAGGTTTTTGTCTGTATACAGGCGAGTGAGCTCAGGGGGCCGCCTGTGCTCCCCCCGCTACCCTCCGAGCTGCGCCCCTGTCTCAGGCACCTCTCGGACCTCGCTGTGTTTCACTGCCTCCTGCCCACAGACCCAGCCGGCCCGCCGGCCCGGACCTGTCCCAGCCTCCCCTCCCCACCCCGTCCCGTGAAGCTCCCCAGGGTAGCCCACGGTCCCAAGAACCTTCCCTCCCCAAGTGGACACGTGGCTGGAAGGCCCACAGATGGACTGAGTGCTAGAAGGGGTGGCCATGAGGGGTGTCAAGCCTGTAGGGAGCACCGAGCGAGTGCATGTGCTACGCTGCTGCAGGCCACTGTCTGTGTCTCCGTTTGTCTGTTCGTGTGTCTGTCACAGTCAGGGAAGGATGCCTCTGATCGGGGGGTGCAGTGAGACCACAGGAGAAGAGAAGGCAGGGCACCCACAGGATGGAGGGGCTGTGGTCAGGGGACTCACTGGGAGGGGGGCAATCCATTCCAGAAAGGGATTTCAAATGGCACAACACTTTCTATTTTACAAGCGACCAAAAGCCAGAGGCCTAGGGCTGAGGCCTGGCCCTGGCGGGTTTAGGGACCTGTGGGGGCTCCCTCATTCGAGGTCAGGGTGGGGGCTGCTGTGTCTGGGAGTGAGGAAGCTAGCCAGGCTTGGTGCAGGAGTGGAGCCATAGTGGGGATGGAGGTATTTGGAAACTATTTCTAAGCTCAAATAAAGTCCAGTTTGTACCCAGCTGGTGTGCTGTGTTTTTTTTCTGCTGCCAGTCACTGCTACCACATGGCCCTGTCGGTGCCCCTCCCTCTGCTCCCTCTTACCATTCATAAGCTCTCCCTCCCTGGCCAGCTTGGGGTGCATCTCAGAGCCAGACCAACTTTCCTTACAATTCTGGACGGGTGGGTGGGCTTCTGCCATCTCCAGAGGAACAAAATGCATCTCTCTCTCTGTGTCTGTCTGTCTGTCTGTGTGTGCGTGTCTTCTTCACCCTGTGCGTCTCTGCTCTGTGTGTCCCCCTGTGGCTGCCTTCCCCCCAGCACACCCTGAAAGCCGGTCCCTGGCCGTGCTGGCCCCCCTGCAGGACGTGGACGTAGGGGCCGGGGAGATGGCGTTGTTTGAGTGCCTGGTGGCGGGTCCTGCCGACGTGGAGGTGGACTGGCTGTGCCGTGGCCGCCTGCTGCAGCCCGCGCTGCTCAAATGCAAGATGCATTTTGATGGCTGCAAATGCAAGCTGCTGCTCACCTCTGTGCATGAGGACGACAGTGGTGTCTACACCTGTAAGCTCAGCACAGCCAAAGGTAACTACTTCCTCAGGCCCTTGGGTCTCCAAGGGTAGAGGGGTGAGGACTAGAGGTGCAAGAGCTGGGTGCTGATTGAGATGCCCAAGAAATGGGCTTCTGACTCCTGGGGGAAGTGCAGTGGGGTGAGAGATAGTGCAGGATGCCAGCCCAAAACAGTACTTAGAGTAGTACCTGGCATGGAAATGGCTGCTCTCATACCTGAGTAAGCAAGTCCCCTGCATGCAGCAAGCACACCAGGACTTGGGCTCCCTCCCATTCTTGCCCTGCAAGTTCCCAGCCCGCCTCTTTGCACAAGTCACTTGCTCTGACTGAGCTTTAGACTATTCATCTGTAAAAAGAAGAAGCATGCTAATGCCGGCTTTGTAGGCAGCTAGGCAGGATTAGTGAAACAACCAGTGTAAGATAAAGCATAGAGCCTGGCAAAGGGTGGCACCTAATACATGCCAGCTGCTACTGTTGATGATGTCTCTGACTTGGGACTGTCCTCATATGAAGCACGGAGATGATGGTACCTGCCTCTCTCAATTCTGTTCCTTAAGGAGCAGGAAGAATCATGTGGGTCAGCCCAGGGGCTGTTAGTGGCTCCAGAAGTTTTTTCTTGGGGGTCAGAGTGGAGCCAATGGGCACTTGCTATTGTTTTAGGATGGTGGGAGGGAGCACGGGTATGCACTTGGTGTGGGGCAGACTTTTGAGAATGGAGTAGGGAAGGCAGTGGCTTGGTTTCTAGGATGAGAGTGAGGTCTAGGCCCTGGGCTGCTGTGGGGATCCTGCCCGCCTTGGCAGCCTGCTGCCTGTCCTTGCTGACCTCCACTTCCCCAGAAGACCTGGTATACATGTGAATCTTTGCCTACTGCCTCCCCCACACTCAGAGCCTTGGCCGAGCTCTGCTTAGGCTCCCTAACTTTGGATACAGTCTAAGAGGTAGGATGCCTGGTCCGGCAGGGCCTTCTCTGCCCAGTGTCCCCCACCCTACCCCCTAGATGAACTGACCTGCAGTGCCCGACTGACTGTGCGGCCCTCCCTGGCGCCCCTATTCACCCGGCTGCTAGAAGATGTGGAGGTGCTAGAGGGTCGTGCTGCTCGTCTTGACTGCAAGATCAGCGGCACCCCACCGCCCTCTGTTTCCTGGACTCATTTTGGTATGTGCCCTCCCACCCTGCAGATGGTGGGAGACTCCTGTGGACCCCAACCAAGCTGGGGTATTTGTTCTACATCCCTGCCCTCCTGCCCCCAGGCCACCCAGTGGAGGAAAGTGACAACTTGCGGCTGCGGCAGGATGGGGGTCTGCACTCATTGCACATTGCCCACGTGAGCAGCGAGGACGAGGGGCTGTATGTGGTCAGTGCCACCAACACACATGGCCAGGCCCACTGCTCCGCACAGCTCTATGTGGAGGAGCCGAGGACAGCTGCCTCAGGCCCCAGGTACCACCTGGGACTCCCGGTGCTTCTGGGCACTGCTACTGAGGGGGCCCCACCCGCTCTGAGGGGCTCCTGCCCTGTGCCAGGAGGTGCAGCCCTGCACCTCTGGACAGCTGTGTGGTCCTTACAGCTCAAAGCTGGAGAAGATGCCATCCATCCCCGAGGAGCCAGAGCAGGGCGAGCTGGAGCGGCTGTCCATTCCTGACTTCCTGCGGCCACTGCAGGACTTAGAGGTGGGACTGGCCAAGGAGGCCATGCTGGAGTGCCAGGTGACCGGCCTGCCCTACCCGACCATCAGCTGGTTCCACAACGGTCACCGCATCCAGAGCAGCGATGACCGACGCATGACACAGTGTACGTGCTCAGGAAGGCACCCTTGGAACTGGGCCCCCTAGGCTCCCTAGGCTTTCTCAGGGTCTTCTTTCTGTAGCCTGGTTGGAGATGGGGTTCCTGGGGAAAGGAAGTCTCATTGCATTTCTCCTTGAGCCCACACAGTAGTCATTGTTTGTGGCCCTCACTGGACAGTCAGTGCAGTCGTGTGATGGAGTTGTTAGGAGAATTAACCCAGCTCCTGCAGATGAAGCACCGTGAGCAGGACCTGTACACAGAGTGGCCAGAGAATTCTAGGTCTTCCGCTCTTGCTGTCCTTGGGCCATTCTCGCTGTTGGGGAAGTGGTGCTGCCATGTCCCAGAGGAAGGCAAAGAGAACGAGGGTGGCCAGCTCTGGCTGGAAAGGGTGTTGTCCAGGGTTATTAACAAACAGCAAATGAGAAAGAGGGAGCCAGAGAAATGCAGAGGTGCAGATTCAACCTGGGGCTTGTTCCTGGGGACACCTCCGTTGCATTCCTGAGGAAATCTGAATCTTGTGTGAGGTCCACCTGCCTCCCTGAGTGTGGCCACACTGTCACCCCTAATGGTTTCTTCCTACAGCTGCAGGTGACCAAGGTCCCCTTCTAAGTGCTTTCTAAGTGCCAGATTCTGAGTGCTAACAAGCAGTGTGGATACCTCACCCACTGCGGGCCTGTAGGCAGATACCGTTAGCCCTGTTTATAGGTTTCCCACTGAGGCTTTAGAGACTTGCTCAAAGGCAAGTGAGGACTGCTTGACTCTGCCTATCTCTGAAAAGATGTTCCTAGCTTCCCTGTCCCAGGCTCCTTACCCCATGCTTACTCCGTCTCCAGTGCCAGAGCTGTGACGCTCGCCCTCAGCCCCCACCCCTGCAGCTGGCCTCCCCATCTCCCATCTTCTTTGAGGCCCTGGGTAGGTGTCTAGCTCAGGATCTGAGCTGGCATCTCTGCTTCTGCCTGTATCTGGGGTCACTGGCAGCTTTTGGCTTCTCTTCCCATATAAATAGCACAAGCGGAGATAAATGAATGGGTGGCCGTCTTACGCAGATAACCACTAAGAGAAGGGAGGGGTGTTTGGTGACATTCTTGATGTGAAGGAGGACACTGCAGGTCTCCTCCTCTTCATGTCCTCCCCAAAGACAGCCTCCTTATCATGCAGGGAGGAGGGCATAAGGAGAGAGCTTTGGAATGAGATGGAAGAAACTAAGTTCAAACAGTGGCTTCATTTATTAGCTGTGTGACCTTGAACAAGTCAATTAATGTCTCTGACCTTATTGGTAATGGGGATAATTTGGTAGCATTGTTGAATTGGTAGGGAGGGTGTCAAGTACTGGCACAGGCTGGGCCTAGGAGTGGGATGGGGCAGAGAGGGTGCAGGGCACAGCAATGGGAGAGGAGACCTAGGAGTGGGGCGGGGCAGACAAATCTCACCATAATTTATAACATAATGAATTGGGTACTGCACAAAAGACATTGAGTTCTGGGTGGAACAAGCAGAGCTGGACCTAAGCAAGCTTGTCTTAGAGGGAACGAGCCAGACAGGAGCTATAACTCAGCAATAAAGAGGAAGGACACCCCCTCCCCACCCTGCAAAGCAGTATGGGCCCTGTGATGTGAATCCAGAGGGCTGGAGTCCCAGAGAAGGAATCATGGAACAGAGCAGATAGGGCTTGGGCCCATGGCAGGGGAGGGTTCACAGGGTTACACTTCCCAGAAGTGTGTCCTAGAGGACAAGGAAGCCTTAGGTAAGAGAACCTTCCAAAGGGAGTTGCTTTTCCCCCCTGTTGGTATTGAAGTTTGAACTCAGGGCCTTCACTGAACTTGTTCCTTGGCTATTTTTATTCTGAGACAGGGTCTTGCTGAACTGCCCAACCTGGGCTTGAACTTACAATTCTCCTGCCTCGGCCTCACCGAGTGCTGGGATTAAGGTGTGTGCCACCACACCCTGCCAGAGGGAGGTATTTTGTAAACAAAGACCTGAGATGGCATGTACATGGTTTTGTAGAGGGGCAATCTGTCAGCTTCAAGACAGGAGGAGAAGCAGTGAATGTTGCTGGGGGTTCGGGCTGGGGCCTTTCCTTGGGCTCTGCTGGAGAAGGGATGAAGGGAAGTGGCCGTGGAGATGGGGAAGACTTGGAGAGGACCTAGGAACAATGCTTTGTCATGGTTTCACCTTGGAGGCTGTGATGGTCAGTTGCTGGGCCTGAAGTGCTGGAAGGACATTAAGAGAGGGGAGAGTGCAGGTCCAGGCTTGGACCCAGCTTTGGCTACATGGTGGACATACTTTTCACTGCCTCCCCTGTCCATCCCTACCTGAGTAGCCAGGCCCAGGCTAGCATGAACCCACTGCTCAGAGCATCTTTGAAGCTCAGCCCTGGTGTCACTGTCCCTCCCCCAGACAGGGATGTACATCGCCTGGTATTTCCTGCTGTGGGGCCTCAGCATGCTGGTGTCTACAAGAGTGTCATCGCCAACAAGCTGGGCAAAGCTGCCTGTTACGCCCACCTGTATGTCACAGGTGAGTCGGGCACCCTCCCGGGCAGCTGTGCTTACAGCCTGACTTCTGGAACCACTGTGAGGGTCGGGTAAGGGAGGGGCTTGCACATCAGTGTCTCTTGGTTCCCCGAGGACCGCCGGGCCTTGCCCCTGGTCTTCTATCCCTGAGCCTTGATGACCCTATGGAGTCCTTAGGCCCTAAAGGACTCACAGACCTTGGATCTGTGGCTTTCAGATGTGGCTCCAGGACCTCCAGACGGTGCCCCACAGGTGGTGGCTGTGACGGGGAGGATGGTCACACTCACGTGGAACCCCCCCAGGAGTCTGGACATGGCCATCGGTGGGTCAGAACCACACAGGGAAAGGGGGGACACTAAAGGATCCAGGTCCCTAAGAATATGGTGGCTGGGCAGGGCAAGAGTGGGAGGAGAACTGGACTGAAATCAGGAGGAGCACATTTTCTGTCTTCTTTCCACGGTGGGTGGGGCTCTTGCTCCAGAAGAGACGGAGGGCGCCAGCATATTCCCTTCATTCTCAGAGAGCTTGGGAACTGTAGGTGTGATTCTGGTGCTGTCCTCTCCTGGCCTTGTCTAGGCTCTTGCATTGGGCACAAGTCCGGCTCCCTCCAGGCCTGTAACTGGTGGCCTGTTGACTTTTTTTTTTTTTTTTTTTGTCTTTTTCCTTTTTTATCGGTACTGGGGATTGAACTCACGACTGCTTGCTTGCAAGGCAGGTGCTTATACTGCTGAGCTAAATCCCCAGCCCCTTGGCCTGTTGACTTTGGACCTGGCTTGAGCAGTGGTTGAGCACGGGCAAGTGGGAGGCAGGCAGAAACCACAGTGAGCCATGAGTTCAGAGAAGACTGAGGATGAGCTCCAGGGCCCCAGGCCAGCTGGGTGGGGAGGCTCTCAGTGCTGCCCCGGCACCAGCCTCTAACAGCTGCCTGCCCTCCAGACCCAGAATCCCTGACCTACACGGTGCAGCACCAGGTGCTGGGCTCCGACCAGTGGACAGTGCTGACCACAGGTCTGCGGGAGCCCAGGTGGGCAGCCATGGGGCTGCGAAAGGGGCTTCAGCACGTCTTCCGCGTCCTCAGCAGCAGTGGCAAGAGCAGCAGCAAGCCCTCGCCCCCGTCCGAGCCTGTGCAGCTGCTGGAGCGAGGTGAGTGGGGTGCCCAGGTGGACAGCGGTCTGGGTAGGCATGAGATGGGGTGGAGACTAAGGGCTGCACTGAACTCAATAACCATGGCAGAAGAGCTGTCTGGGTCGGGCCCCAGCTCATCAGTGGCAGCAGGACTTGGGATAGGGTGAGGTCAGACAAGCTGGAGGCCAGGCCTTGCTCTGTTGTGTTCCCTGGACAAAAGGCTGAGCCTCGGCTTCCTCGTCTGTAAATTTGGAGCTTGAGTGGTGACCGGGGGTGTGAAAGGAGCAGTAGCTGCTGACACCCCAGCATCCAGCCCGGATAGAGCCTGCCATCCCTTCTCAGGCCCACCCCTGGAGGAGGCCCCTGCAGTGCTGGATAAACCGGATGTCGTGTATGTGGTAGAGGGACAGCCAACCAGTGTCACTGTCACCTTCAACCATGTGGAGGCCCAGGTCGTCTGGAGAAGGTAGGGTCCTGCTCACCCCGCTGACTGCCCATGTAGCTATGCCCCAGCCTGGCCTAGCAGGACCTCCCTGTCCCGTTTCCCTCAGCTGCCGAGGGGCCCTCCTGGAGGAGCGGACAGGTATCTACGAGCTGAGCCAGCCGGACGACGACCAGTACCGCCTTCGCATCTGCCGGGTGAGCCGCCGTGACGTTGGGCCGCTCACCTGCTCAGCCCGCAACCGCCATGGCACGCAGGTCTGCTCGGTTACACTGGAGCTGGCAGGTGGGTGGCGACAGCTTCTTCCCACTTCTCCCTCTGAGACACTCCCAGAGGCACACACACACTCACTGCTGCCTCAGGGACCCACTCCCATGCCCTCCTCCTCAGGCCTGTGCGTCTAATGGCAGTGATGGTACTAGACAGCTATTTACTGAGCCCCTCACACAGGCCTGGCTCAGTACACCTCATGTAATATGCACATCAACTCTCTGAGAGGGGTCAGTGAGCCCTGTTTCACAGGTGAGGACATTGAGGCTCAGGGGGTCCCTAAGGAAACCTGATGCTCAGGAGCTGGGTTCGAGTCTGCACATCAGGCTCCAAAGCCTGAAAGTGTTCCTAGCTTCTATGCTAAATCCAATAGGAAATAGGATTTTGGCTATCACAAGCATGGAGGAGTTTAAAAAAGCAAAAGCTCCCGTGCTTAGTTTAGCACCTGCCTCCCAGCTCTGGAGCTCCAGGCTGCCCTTTTGTTTGAACCTGTTTAACAGAGCTCTAACCTTTGCAGCAAAGGCCCTTTGTGTAATTTCTCCTTTAAAGACGTGGCTTCTCAAGCCTAACATGTATTAGGTGGTAATTATTTTGTTTTCGAGTTTGTTAATTAACTCTAGACATCTGTAACTGCCACTCGGAACTTCAGATCCACACGAGCTGAGCGCATTACCTGCCGAGTACATGAATACACTTCTAGCCCAAAGTGGAGGAAGTGACATTTTAGTTAGCACAGACAATCTTAGGCAAATGGTCATTTTGTGGTGCTTTAAGATAGTCGTTGATGGGCTGGGGATTTAGCTCTGTGGCACAGGGCCCGCCTGGCAAGCATGAGGTGCTGAGTTCCATCCTTGGTACAAAAAAAAAAGGATAGTCATTGATATTCATGTGAAACCTTCCAGTGCTTTGACCTTTATAGACTGCTCTCCTGCACCTCTATAGACTGGAAACCAGATTTGTAGAAGGGAGAGAAAGTATCTGTAAAGCGGGTGAAAAGTGGCCAGAGCGGGTGTGAGGAAGAGAAGGGGCATTCTTGGCTCCTACAGGGATGCTGGATGGGGTGAGCACTAGATCTCTGGGCCCTGGGTTTCCCTCTGATAAGTCCTGCTCCTTACACAGCCTGTCCTGCTGAGCATTTCCTACTCAGTCACTGCTTTGCTCCTCGGCCATCTGCTAGGCTCATCTTCCTACACACACATGACCCTATGTCCAGGACTTAGGGAGGCCCTGGTCCCAGGGCCCTGCAGCCCAGCCTGCACAGAACACCATGTCCCTGCCAGCCAGGGTGAAATGGCCTTGGGCGGGCGTCAGTACTTACTTTCTAATAGACCTCACTCCATGCCAACCAGGCAGAGCAGGTAGAACGGCAGCCCCTCTCCTCCATGTCTGCACACCCTAGCACCCCCCCCCCCGCACCCTGTGGTCTCCTGATAGCTATATGAAAGCTGGTGGTCCCTGTGCTGGGGGGCACTCTGTACCGGGCCATCCTGTTCCTTACCGGAGGCCAGATCACTCCCACCCCCTTATAAAGCAAGATCCTCAGACATACTCAGGATGGGGAAAGTGCTTTGAGAAGTGTATGTGACTCTACCATGGAATCAGATGGCGCTTTGCAGGGAATAATACGAACATGTGACATGTGTGGAGAATAAGATTACAGACATACCCCGCAGCAGAACTGAGCTGAGAGCTTCTAGACTGTCCGGTTAGCATTCGGGGGTTAGTAATTTGTTCCTCTTGCCATCTCTCAGATGGTAGATGGCTCCCTAGCCATCTAGATGATATTCACGGAGAAAAACCTCAAGACACAGGCTGTGTCATTCATAAGCTTTCTTTCCGGTCACAGACTGTGCCTCCTGCAGATTCCGAGCTCAGGCACTATCAGGGCAGGCTGCGGTGGGACCGTGAGAAGGGCGATGGCCTCCAGGGGGCGGCATTGAGCCACGCCCTGGTTCCTGGGAGGGAAGCGATTTAGGATGGCCAGCCTTGATTTTTCAAAAGAGACAGCAAATCCAGGTTTTCTTTGTGTGCGCAAATCCCTAATTTCAAAGCTGGCAAATGAACATCGAGGGTCTAACAAAGCGAGCCCGCACCGGTGACAGTGCGTCTGACATTTAGGGAACATCATGTTTGAATTTATAGAGTGGGCGCCTGGGCCGGGTGACCTGGAGCTTGGTGTGCAAGAGTGGGTGCTCAGGAGGCCCAGCCTGATGTTGTTTTTTGCTTTTTTTCAGTGGTGGGGATTGAAACCAGGGCCTTCATGTCGAGCTACATCCTCAGCCCTTTTTTTTTTTTTTTTTTTTTTTTTTTTTTTTTGTCTTTTTCCTTTTTATCGGTACCGGGGATCGAACTCACGACTGCCTGTTTGCAAGGCAGGCGCTTTATGCTGCTGAGCTAAATCTCCAGCCCCCTCTTTTTCTTTTTGGAGTCAGGGCCTCACTAAATCACCAAGAGGGGCTCAAACTTACAGCCCTCCTGCTCCAGCCGCCTAAGGTGCTGGGCTTACAGGCATGTGCTCCCACATCCAGCTCAGCCTGGTGTTCTGACCCAGTCCCTTCCTGATGGGGATTTGCAGAGGGGCAGAGGGGCAGAGGAGGCGGGCCTTTGTATTAAGGATGTTCTGCCCTCTCTCTTGCCCTCTCCTGTCCCTCTGTGCATTTCAGAGGCTCCACGATTTGAGTCCATCATGGAGGACGTGGAGGTGGTGGCTGGGGACACTGCCCGATTCGCTGTGGTGGTTGAAGGAAAACCAGTGCCAGACATCATGTGGTACAAGGTGAGAGGGTGGTGCAGGCTGAAACAGGGAGTCGCCCCACTAGCAGGAGCCTGGGGGAGGAGGACTGGTTTCCTCCAGGAAGCTGGGCTCCTGGGACGTCTGGGGGCGATGGGCAAAACAGTGTTAGGAGGAGGAGGCAGGGCCCAGGAACTGAGGGGTGTGGGGCTGTTAGTGGGAGCTGAGGGATGAGCAAAGCCCAAGGCTGAAGCCCCTGGGTGGAGGCTGGCTCCTGGCCCTACGTGGAGTGGAAGCTGGGTCCCTGGCATGGAGGCAAAGCTACTTCCCAGAGGGAGGCTCAGGCTGGCTGTGATACCCACCTCCGCAGGATGAGGGGCTGCTTGCTGAGAGCAGCCATGTGAGCTTCGTGTACGAGGAGAATGAGTGCTCCCTGGTGGTGCTCAGCACCGGGGCCCAGGATGGAGGCGTCTACACCTGTACGGCCCGGAACCTGGCAGGCGAGGTCTCCTGCAAAGCAGAGTTGGCTGTGCATTCAGGTGGGCAGGAACTGCCCCTGGGAATTCAGTGTGTGCCCCAGACGCACTCCTGACTGTGCATCCTCCAGCCTCAACACCTCAGCCTGGGCTGCAGTGGTCTTGCTCCTCTCCTGTCTCCATCTGCCCCACCTATCCCGCCTCTGCCCTGTCCCCTTCCTGCTCTCCCCGCCTGACCCCAGGACAATTGTCTCCTTTCCAGCTCAGACAGCTATGGAGATCGAGGGTGCTGGGGAAGATGAGGAGCATCGAGGAAGGAGACTCAGCGACTTCTACGATATCCACCAGGAGATCGGCAGGTGTGGGGCCAGGAGGAGCCAGTGTTGGGGGCCCCACGGGGCTGGTGGCTCTGAGATGTCCTGCAGTGACAGCTGTGCTCTGTCGCCCTCCTTGTTACCCAGGGGTGCCTTCTCCTACCTACGGCGCGTGGTGGAGCGTAGCTCCGGCCTGGAGTTTGCAGCCAAGTTCATCCCCAGCCAGGCCAAGCCCAAGGCATCAGCGAGGCGGGAGGCCCGGCTGCTGGCCCGGCTTCAGCACGACTGTGTCCTCTACTTCCACGAGGCCTTTGAGAGGCGCCGGGGACTGGTCATTGTCACTGAGCTGTATCCTGGGAGAGGCCTGTGCTTGAATGACTGGTCCTCACAGCAAACAGTTTGTAACGCATGTTACTATTTACAAACCAGTCCTGTTGAGGCTTGGGTGGTATGAGTCTGGAGACTTCTGTGAAAGCCAACATTTCTTTCAGCTTAGATAACAGGTGCCTGGCAGCGTTGCATGAGTTTTACAAATGTTAAAACATCCATTTATCCTGTACAACTACCTCATGGAATTGCATTATCCCCATTTTATGGATGATGAACAGGTAGAGAGAGGTTGAATAATTGGCCTGCAGTCATACTGCCAGCAAGTGGAAAATGCTTTTCAATTATAAATCACAGAGCAGTATTTCTGCACATTTAAAAGAACAGGTCCTACTCCTCCGTGGCTAAGAAGGGTACAGTGAGTGAGGACTGCTGGGCAGTTAGCTCAGCTCTCCTGGAGCGGGGTGACCATGACCTGCATATTCCCCGGCTGTGTTGTTAAATCCAAAGCTTAGCAAAATGACAGATTATTCCATGGCACGGCCCCTGGCTCATTATCAATCGAACCAGTGAGATTCTGCTATGATTTGTTCAAAAAATGATTTGTCCCCCATAAATACTTCGTCAAGTGGGCAGGAGAGGAAACAGCTTCTCTGTTTTATATCTGAGGGAACCTTGGTGCAGAGAGGCTAAATGACTTGCCTGAGATCTTATGAGAGTTCAAGCACAGTTGCCATCTGTGCACCCAGAGGACAGGGAAGAGTAAGGTGCCATCTCTGACTGATACCAGGTGTGCTTTAGTGGAGGAGATGAAGAGGCCTGCACTGAGCAGAGCCTTCCCTAAGCTCAGGGGCTGGGCCAGGCAGGTGACACTTGTCACTGATCTCCTTGACCCCTGACATAGCTGCACAGAGGAGCTGCTGGAGCGAATGGCCAGGAAACCCACCGTGTGTGAGTCTGAGGTGAGGGCAGTGGGTGGCAGGGGCCAGGTTGGGCGCCAGCCTTCACCCACCTGAGCTCTGAGAACTGATGGGCGAGTCCCACGCATGCCATCTGTGCCCATGAGGAAGCCATGGGAGATGGCAGAGAGCCCCATGAGGCTGACAGCAGAAGAGCTCACTGCAAGACCCCCGTGTATTTGGGACTCCCATCATCCCCTCTAATCTCAGCAGGCCCATCCCAATCTCTCTGTTGTTTCCTGAGCATACACATTGTCAGTGTCTCCCTGCATAGGTCCCACCTGGACTCTATTGATCTCACTGCAGTCCTGCATGTCTGACTACACTGTATGGTTCTATTCATTATAATGTAAATATCTGCCCTCTCTAATAGTGCTGTGTCCAACCCATGCAGCTGTATGGGAGTCCTAGGTCTTAGCAACCCACAGCTCCATGAGCCATCTGAAGACCATTCCCAAGGCCTGACCTGACCTCTTGCCACAGCCCTGGTGGTTGGTCATCAAGCATAGTTCCCCACCCTACCCCCACAGACCCTGGGCCCCCTGTTCCCACAGATCCGGGCCTACATGCGACAGGTGCTAGAGGGAGTGTGCTACCTGCACCAGAACCGCGTGCTGCACCTGGATGTCAAGGTGAAGTGGGGAGTGGGGGATGGGCAGCTCCTCTGGGAGCCAAGAAGCAGGTGTTCATCTCTAGCTTGCTTGTGTCTTGTAGCCTGAGAACCTGCTGATATGGGACGGTGCAGAGGGTGAAGAGCAGGTTCGCATCTGTGACTTTGGAAATGCCCAGGAGCTGATCCCAGGGGAGCCCCAGTACTGTCAGTACGGAACACCTGAGTTTGTGGCACCAGAGATTGTCAACCAGAGCCCTGTGTCTGGAGTCACTGACATCTGGTAAAGCTGGGGTGCTGGGCTGCTGGGGACTTGCTCACAGTGGCAAAGAGGAGAGTTATGAAGCCTGGATTCCTACTCTGCTGGGGGCTGGTGGCAGTACTCTTGGGGTCCCTTGGCCTAATATCCTGGCCCTTCATCTGTCAGGGCTGGCCAGTCATGCAGGACCTCCACTCCGAGTCCCTGGCTCCTGCCTTTGCAGGAGCGAGGCCTGTCCCAGCGGGGAGGCCTGGTCCCACTGGTCCCCAGACTTCTCTGGGTTTCCTAAGCAGCCCTGCCATGAATGACTCTTGACTTCGGAATGTCTAGACTGCTGGGTTCACAGTCCTTCCTGAAGAAGGCCCTCCTGTGCCCCAGGTGTGCAGGGCAGTGTTCCCAGGGGACATGTCTTTCAGAGTTGAGGCAACAGTGAGGAGCTGCTCACTTCCAGCTGTTGTGGGGGGACCATCCTTTCACGCATCTGCTCTTCTTTCCTACAGGCCTGTGGGTGTCGTTGCTTTCCTCTGGTAAGGACCCCTCTGCCAGTCTCCTGGCAGACCCACCCCTGCTACTTACAAGGCTAATGGTCCACCTCTCCCCTTCCACACCCCTGCTCCTTCTCAAACTGCCAGGACCACACGAGTGCATGAATATGGGTGCCCTGGCCCTTGTGAGGATCGGGGCACAAAGGACTGAGAGAGGCCAGTGCAGATCCAGTGCTATTTTGGCAACAAACTAGTTGGCTCTGAATGCTCAGAACAAGGACTAGTGGGACAGGGCACATCCCCAGGGCAAAGAGAGGGTGGAGAGGCCCCCTGGAGTGGGGGTGGAACTCGTCCTCTAAAGCAAGGACAGCTGAGCCCCACTGCAGGACTGCCGCTCCCGCATTCCTTGGGGTTGCTGTGAAGTAGGGCAGGACAATGAGTCTGAAAGCTTTGGATTCTTGTCCAGATTTACGCAGCATCTGCATCTCACAACCGGAGGCTCCAGCCCCCACCCACCCACCTCACCCCTGCCTCAGCCCAGGGCCCTGCCCAACTCTCCTGACCGTCTTCCCTACCCCCTGCAGCCTGACAGGAATCTCCCCATTTGTTGGGGAAAATGATCGGACAACACTGATGAATATCCAGAACTACAATGTGGCCTTCGAGGAGACCAGGTTCCTGAGCCTTAGCAGAGAGGCTCGGGGCTTCCTCATCAAAGTGCTGGTGCAGGACCGGCTGTGAGTACGGGCCCCTGAGGTCTCCCTGCACCTGCAGAGACCTTTATGCCACCCCTTACTCCTACCCAGTCTCTGCCTTTAAACAAGCAGCTCCCAGCTCGTCAGAGGCCGTTTTCCCAAACATTTATTGACTGTATGAATGAGTGAATAACAAATTTCTATTTAATTCTTATTCTGTCATAGGAGACCTACTGCAGAGGAGACTCTAGAGCATCCTTGGTTCAAAGTGAGTCTCATCTTGCCAGGTAGTAGTACAGGGGTGGAGACAGAGAAGGTTACTGGCAGCTCCGCTTACTGCGATGTGCATGTGCAGAAACTGATATGCTTTATTCTGTATACATGATCTATTAGCCTAATGATAGCTCTGCAAAGAAAGGTTTCATTGCTCCTATTTTGATAAGGAAACTAGGCTCAAATCAGTGATCAGCAGGTTGGGGTATCACGGACTCCAGGCATAGGTTTGTACCCCACCCCACTCCAAAGGTCCTCTTCGAAGTTCTCCCTGGTTCCTTCTCTTCTGTGTGCCTACCTCTGACCCACACTGATTAGTGGGTGGCTATCCTCCTAGCTGTGAGCTGTGTGTGGGTAGAGGTCAGACCCCAGCACTGGGGCACAGTGCCTGGCACAGGGTGAGGGTGCAGCAGAGTTTAGAAAACACCTGCATAAAATTTCCATTGAGGGCTGGGGATTTAGCTCAGTGGCATAAGTGCCTACCTTGCAAGCAGGCGGTCGTGAGTTCAATCCCCGGTACCGATAAAAAGAAAAAAAAAAAAAATTTCCATTGAGCACTGAGCTGGGTCAGTGAAGACTGAGCTCATTCTGCTCGCAGTGAGAGCCTTCCTCAGACAGAAAGCCACTTTGGAGACTGAGCCTGGGTAGGGTGCTGAGGGGAGCTTCTATCTTGGTCTGGACCATAGCTCCAGATGTGGGGATGCTGACCTTCCATGGAGACAGCTGGAAAGCTGGGGGCCTGCCAGGGGCTTAAGAGCACAGGCTTCCCTTGGCAGCCAGTGTAGCAGGAGGGGACCTTGAACCCTGGTGCAAGCTGGAAGCCACCCGTGGGAGCTATCATTTTCTGCCTCTTCCCTTAGGTTCAGGGAGTGCATCTGCAGATGTGCCCCTTGGCAGTAGGAGGTGTCCTGACAGTCCCAAGGGGACCTCCAGGGACCCAGACTCACTGTCTGCCATGGACTTTATCTCTCCATTACCCAACTTGAGGGTCTGAGTGACAGCTGTCCCTCAGGCCCTGTTTCTTGGGTTTGCAGACACAAGCAAAGGGTGCAGAGGTGAGCACAGACCACCTGAAGCTCTTCCTGTCCCGGCGGAGGTGGCAGGTGAGTCTGGCTGTCCTTCCATGATCTCCTTTTCTCACCCAGGCTTTGTGCCTCCTTCTCTTCCACCTCCCTGTTTTCTCTTGTCTTCCCTCCTGCCACCCTGACCTCTTCCCGCCTAGGCATCTTTTGTGCGTGTGGAGTGGGGGGTCCCGGCTCTGGACCCCTATGGTCTAACTCTAACACCTGTCTCCAGCGCTCTCAGATCAGCTACAAATGCCACCTGGTGCTGCGTCCCATCCCAGAGCTGCTGCGGGCTCCCCCAGAGAGGGTGTGGGTGGCCATGCCCAGAAGACCGCCTCTGAGCGGGGGCCTTTCGTCCTCCTCCGACTCTGAAGAGGAAGAGCTGGAGGAGCTGCCCTCGGTGCCCCGCCCCCTGCAGCCAGAGTTCTCGGGCTCCAGGGTGTCCCTCACCGACATTCCCACTGAAGATGACGCCCTGGGGACCCCGGAGGCCGGGGCTGCCACCCCCATGGACTGGCAAGAGCAGGGAAGGGCTCCCCCTCAGGATCAGGAGGCCCCCAGCCCTCAGGACCTCCCCTCTCCAGGCCAGGAGTCCCCGGCTGGGCCTAGCCCCAGGCGGGGAGAGCTCCGCAGGGGCAGCTCCGCGGAGAGCGCCCTGCCCCGGGCTGGGCCGCGGGAGCCGGGCCGGGGCCTGCACAAGGCAGCATCTGTGGAGCTGCCGCAACGCAGGAGCCCCAGCCCGGGGGCCACCCGCCTGGCCCGGGGTGGCCTGGGTGAGGGCGAGTACGCCCAGAGGCTGCAGGCCCTGCGCCAGCGGCTGCTTCGGGGAGGCCCTGAGGACGGCAAGGTCAGCGGCCTCAGGGGTCCCCTGCTGGAGAGCTTGGGGGGCCGTGCGCGGGACCCCCGGATGGCTCGGGCTGCTTCCAGCGAAGCAGCGCCCCACCACCAGCCCCCACCCGAGGCTCGAGGGCTGCAAAAGAGCAGCAGCTTCTCCCAGGGAGAGGCGGAGCCCCGGGGTCGGCACCGCCGCGCGGGGGCGCCCCTTGAAATTCCCATAGCCAGGCTTGGGGCCCGCAGGCTCCAGGAGTCTCCCTCCCTGTCTGCCCTCAGTGAGGCCCAGTCGTCCAGCCCTGCGCGGCCCAGCGTCCCCAAACCCAGAATGCCTAAGTCTGCGCAACCTTCTCCCGCCACTCCCAGCGAGCCTCCCCAGCACCCAGAACCCCAGCCTGCCCCCGAGAAGGCCCGGGAGCCTACACCTGAGCCAGTGCGAGCCCTCAAGCCGGCACCGCTCCCCGTGGCTCCACAGACCCTGGAACTGCCCCTCACTCCCTATGCCCAGATCATGCAGTCGCTCCAGCTAGCTGGTCACTCCCAGCCCCAACAGGGTCCCGCGACAGCGGCGTCAGGGCCCCAACCCCACGCGGCCGTATTTGCCAGGGTGGCCTCCCCACCTGCAGGAGGCTCCGAGAAGCGCGTGCCTTCGGCTAAGGCTGCCCCAGTGGTAGCCGAGAAAGTCCAGGCACCCACGGTGCCCCCCAGGCCAGGGAGCAGCCTGAGCAGCAGCATCGAGAACCTGGAGTCCGAGGCCGTGTTCGAGGCCAAGTTCAAGCGCAGCCGAGAGTCGCCCCTGTCGCGGGGGCTCCGGCTGCTCAGCCGCTCCCGTTCGGAGGAGCGCGGCCCCTTCCGCGGAGCCCAGGACGACGACGGCATCTACCGGCCCAGCCCGGCGGGAACCCCACTGGAGCTGGTGCGCCGGCCCGAGCGCTCGCGCTCCGTGCAGGACCTCAGGCCTGTCGGGGAGCCGGGTCTGGCCCGCCGCCTCTCGTTGTCGTTGTCCCAGAGGCTGCGGCGGACGCCGCCCGCGCAGCGCCACCCGGCCTGGGAGACCCGCGGCGCAGACGGGGAGAGCTCCGAGGGCGGCAGCTCGGCGCGGGGCTCCCCGGTGCTGGCAGTGCGCAGGAGGCTCAGCTCCACGCTGGAGCGGCTGTCGAGCCGGCTGCAGCGCAGTGGCAGCAGCGAGGACTCCGGGGGCGGCTCGGGTCGCAGCACGCCGCTCTTCGGACGGCTGCGCAGGGCCACGTCCGAGGGCGAGAGCCTGAGGCGCCTGGGCATTCCGCACAACCAGCTGGCTGCTCAGGCTGGCACCACGACTCCCTCCGCCGAGTCTCTGGGCTCCGAGGCCAGCGCCACGTCGGGCTCCTCAGGTGAGCGGGAGTCTAGGGTAAGGCGGCAGGTAAGGTGGTGGGGCGCATGCAGAGGAGTGCTGGGACGAAGCAGGGCTCATGCAGAGGAACGCTGGGACGAAGCAGGGGGTGCTGGAGCCCAAAGGGTGCTGCTGGCTAGAGGGCAGGGAGGCAGGGAGGCAGAGGCTGGGATGGGATGGGATGGGAGACAGGAAGGGTAGGGGCTAGGTGTTCTTTTCTGCTTCTTTGGGCTGAGGTCTGGCACTATGGGGCTCTCCACAGCGCCAGGGGAAAGCCGAAGCCGGCTCCGCTGGGGCCTCTCGCGCCTGCGGAAGGACAAGGGCTTATCACAACCAAACCTCTCTGCCGGTGTCCAAGAGGACTTGGGTCAGCAGTACGTGCCCAGTGAATCAGGTGAGAGGTGGGCTGGGTGAGCATGTCCTTGCCCCAGTCCTGGCTGCGGGGGAACGTGGGCCACCTCTGGGAACAGGGTGGCCAGGGAAAGGGCCTGGAGTCAAGAGAACAAAGCTCATCATCAGAGCAGCTGTCATTAATTAGCAAAGCCAAGGGTCCTAGTAAGCGTTTTACAAGCTTTATCTCATTCAATCCTGCAGCATTATTTAGCAACAATTATGGTCATTTTATAGGTGAGAAAACAGGCTTAGTGATGTGATGCTAAGTAGCTTGTCCAAGTTGCAGAGCTAGTCAGCAGAGTAGCTGGCCCTCTGGAACCAGGGCCCCATACTTAGGTTTTTCTTTAACTAACCTCATCTCTCATAGGAGTCTCTAGAAGATTTCTGTGTCTGGGTGGAGCTTAGAAGAAGCTCAAGATTATGTTCCTCTTGGCCAGCAGTAGTGGCACATGCCTATAATCCTAGCACTCCAGGAAGACAAGCAAATTCAAGCCCAACTCGGGCAATTTAGTGACTTAAAACCTTGTCTCTAAAAAGAAAAATTTAAAAAAATAAATAAATAAAAATAAGAAGGTGGGGGGCGTGCTAGTTCAGTGCAGTCCCCAGGACTGCAGGGGGAGGGCCACATCCTGTTCCTTTGCCCCTTCCTCTTGAGGCATGCCTGCATCTGTGTACCCCCAAAGACACACTTTGCTCCCAAGTCTGGGCCATGCCCCAGTTCTCTACTTCTCTATAGCCCTAAACACCTGGCTGTCTCTCCTGGTCTCCCTTACCCCCACAGAAAGTCCATTTGCTAGGAAAAGCAGCCTTCAGGATTCTTTGGGGGTCTGTTTCATGTCCCAGTGTCCTGAGGCTGCAGGGAAGGAAGCATTCTCTGCCTGAGGCCATTTGACCTGAAAAGGAACTTTACTAAAGCACTTGGGAGGCCAGATTCCCAGAGCAGCAGGAAAGATAGGAGCTGGCCACCAAGCGAGGCTACATTCCCCATCTTTGGAAGCCACCAGCTCTGCTTTTGCCCAGTTCCTGGTTAAGTTACTCAGAGTGCTTGTGGCCTTGCCATGACTGGAGGGGACTGTGTCCAGCCTTGCCCAGGGCTGTGGGGCTGCAGGAAGGGAAGCCAGCTGGTGGAGGCTGGAAAAGTGGGAGTGGGTGGGGCGCATCTAGCAGAGAGGCCTGGGAACAGCTGATGCCTTCCCACCTGGGGCCTTGCTCCTGTGCTCTGTTTTGCTTGTACAGCTGATTTCCTGCTGAGCAGAGTGAGTGACCTCATCCTCCTTCTATAGGAAGAAGCCCGTCCCAGACCCACTTGACCAACTAGGCTGGCCCTGGGGTAATGGGGGTGGGGGTGGCAGAGCTAGGTAGGGTCACCTATGACCTCTCCTCCTGACGTCCCTCTCTGTCTGTGCGGAGTGCCCTCACTGGGGACAGCCATTGATGAGACCATGTCCTCTTTAGGAAACAAGAGGGCCTGGGGGGGGGGGGGACATGCTCCTCCCTTGGTCACCCTCTCCTGCAGAATATCACCTGCCGGGCTTATCCCACCCCAGCCCCTCCAGGTACTGAGGCAGCAGCATCTGGGGCTCCCAGGGCTCTTCCCTCTGCCCAGGTATAAAAAAGAAAAAAAGGGGGGGCTGGGGATTTAGCTTAGCGGCATAAGCGCATACCTTGCAAGCAGGCAGTCTTGAGCTCAATCCTTGATACTGGAAAAAAGGGCGAAAAAAAAATTTTAAAAAGCCTCTTCTGTTCCCTGTAGACAGACCAGATCCTTATTTTTCTAAAGGTGCCTTCCAGGGATCATGTACTTAAATTCTTCATGGCACTGAGGAGCCACAGGCCAGCTGCACTAGAGCACAGACCGTGGCCTCAGCCTTTCCATGGGCAAGGCCACCAGCCCGTGGCAAAGTGGCTTCTCTGCTTTATTGAAGCAGCCTTTTTCCAGGTTCTGCTCCTGGCTTCTCTGATGGGCATATTAATTAGATAATAGTAACAATCACAATAACAGCTGATGTTTATGAGCACTTCTTTCATGTCTGACACACACTAAGCACTTTACACGCGTCTTTTAAATCTCTCGGGAACTCTCCATGCTTGGTATTATTATTTTCCTCAATTTACAGGAAGAAATAGTTTCTTAGAGGGGAAACAACTCCCCCAAGGTCATGGAGATACTGTTTTTTGCCCTGTCCAAAGCTTTCCTCACTTAGTAGATCCTGATGAGTAGTAGAAGGTCGGGGCTCTCCCACCCCTGGGCCCCACGTGGAAAGACTGGCAGGAAGCGGGCACGCTTCTGGGGTTGAGAGCTGCCCTCAGCTCATCTTTCCTCTCCTTTCCCATCTCTCGTGTCCTGTGGTAGCCCAGAGGGAGTGGTATTGCAGAATATTAACTGTGAATGTTTTACAGTGTTTGTTTTTATTTTAACAAATCCTTGTAGAGCACTTAGAGAACCTGCTCTACATGATTTACAAGCCTGAGTTATGTAGCAAGCATTTTCAATAATCAGTGCAAGGAAAAAAATGCCTCTACACATGCCGCGGTCCCAGGGAAAGTGATGCTGGCCCCAGAGAAAATTCTCAAAGGCATAGTATGAGATTCTGTTCCCCACGTCTGGCTGGGAAAAGGCTCTGTGCTCCCTGCAGGTGCCACCTTACCGAGACATGCACCTGCCCCTCCCTTGGCAGGGTGTGGCCAGGACCCCCATACTGATGGCTGTCTCTGCTGTCCCTCCAGACTTCCCCCCAGTCTTCCACATCAAACTCAAGGACCAGGTGCTGTTGGAGGGGGAGGCAGCCACTCTGCTCTGCCTGCCTGCAGCCTGCCCTGCACCCCGCATCTCCTGGATGAAAGGTAAGATTGTATCTTCCACAGGGGAGGGCGTGGCAAGAGGCCCCAGGTGCATGCCTTGGGATGCAGGGCAGATGGGGGCCTAGACTTGTGGGGCCTCACTCATCAGCCCCTCCTGTTCCTCCTCATGCCCAGATAAGCAGTCCTTGCAGTCAGAGCCCTCAGTGGTCATCGTGTCCTGCAAAGATGGACGGCAGCTACTGAGTATCCCCCGGGCAGGCAAGCGCCATGCTGGGCTTTATGAGTGCTCAGCCACCAACGTCCTCGGCAGCATTACGAGTTCATGTACCATCGCCGTGGCCCGTGAGCATGGGGCAGGGCTTGAGGGGGTAGTGGTGGAGATGGTGGGGCAGGGCTCAGAAGGCCCTTAAACCAGGCCATCACTGTGCTTCTCCTCTTGCCAGGCGTCCCAGGAAAGCTAGCTCCTCCTGAGGTGCCCCAGACCTACCAGGACACTGCCCTGGTGTTGTGGAAGCCAGGCGACGGCCGGGCACCTTGCACATACACACTGGAGCGGCGGGTGGATGGTGAGGAACGGGGCAGGGTGGCGGGTGGTGAAGGCGGATGGTGAAGTCAGGTGATGTGTAGCAGCACCTGGGGAGACAAGTGTCCTCTCTGGGCCTTGCTGGGCTCTTCACGGACAGCATCGGGAGCTTGGGTCACCCCTTGTTGCCCTCAGCCCCAACCCCATGCTGCCCACAGGGGAGTCCACCTGGCACCCGGTGAGCTCGGGCATCCTTGACTGTTACTACAATGTGACGCACCTGCCAGCTGGTGTGACCGTGAGGTTCCGTGTGGCCTGTGTCAACCGTGCTGGGCAGGGGCCCTTCAGCAACCCTTCTGAGAAGGTCCTCATCAGGGGCATCCAAGGTCAGTGGACAGGAGGTGGGGGTGGCAGGGGCAGGAAGGGGCCCCCTAAGAACATCATGGCTTTGCTGTCAGGGTGTGTGGCAGTTTTTTCTCTGTCCATCCTTAGATTCTTCAGCCTGGCCATCTGCTGCTTCCAAAGATGCCCCTGTTACCTCAGGGCCGGCCAGGGCCCCGGCTGATTCTCCTACCTCACTGGCCTCCATCCCAGCTCCTGCTCCTGCTCCTGCTCCTCCAGCACCCCTGTCAGCTGCTATCAGCCCCTCATCGCCACCCACATCCCCTAGCCGGGCCTTGTCCTCACTTAAGGCTGTAGGTCCTGTACCCCAAACCCCCCCACGAAAGCACAGAGGTCTGCAGGCTGCTCAGCAGGCAGAGCCCACCCCACCCAGTGCCCAGGTCACCCTAAGTGAGCCCAAGTCTTCCGCCTCTGACAGTGGGACCCCAACGCCAGCCCCCACCCCTCAAGGAGTGAAACCGGCGCCTTCCTCTACCCCCCTGTATATGGTGACTTCCTTCGTGTCTGCACCCCCAGCCCCTGAGCCCCCAGCCCCTGAGCCCCCTCCTGAGCCCACCAAGGATATAGTGCAAAGCCTCAGCCCAGCCAAGGAGACGATCAGCTCCCTCGTGCCAGAGGGCACCACGGCTCTTCGACAGGGCCTCCCTCAGAAACCTTATACCTTCCTGGAGGAGAAGGCCAGGTAAGCCAGGCTGGGAAGAAGAAAGTTGTGGGGTGTGGGGGTGCTGAATGTGGTGAAAGCAGGGGTTCAGAGAGCAGAGCAGACTGCCCTGGCCAGGCTGAGGAGGATGTGGACACAGAGGGCCTTAGAATGATGAGTTCAGACAAGCCAGGCACTGTACCAGCTTTTTAGGCACGTGCTCTCTCTAATCTGAAAGGACAACACTGCCTTATTAATATCGCCCATTTCTCAGATGGGAAAACTGAGGTTGGGAGGTTATGGGATTTGCCTAAAAGTAGAGAGTTAGTGAGCACAGAGCTGGAACTGGAGCCTTGGTTCCTAGGACTGAATACTGAAGCCCACATCAGAGCCACTGCATGCTTGTCCCCAGTGTCCTTTTAGTCCTCATGACAGAAATGTGTCCCTCTGAGTCCGTGGCATCCCTACACACACAGGGGCCGCTTTGGTGTCGTGCGAGCATGCCGGGAAAATGCCACTGGCCGGACATTTGTGGCCAAGATTGTGCCCTATGCAGCTGAGGGCAAGCGGCGGGTCCTGCAGGAGTACGAAGTGCTGCGGTCGCTGCACCACGAGCGGCTCATGTCCCTGCACGAGGCCTACATCACCCCTCGGTACCTCGTGCTCATTGCGGAGAGCTGCGGCAACCGGGAACTCCTCTGTGGGCTCAGTGACAGGTAGCCAGAACGCCAGGGCTGCAGGGAGGAGCGTGGCAGAGGCTGGGCTGGGACATCACCTGCAACCCTGCCGCCCCCAGATTCCGGTATTCAGAAGATGATGTGGCCACATACGTGGTGCAGCTGCTGCAGGGCCTGGACTACCTCCACGGCCGCCACGTGCTACACCTGGACATCAAGCCGGACAACTTACTTCTGGCCCCTGACAATGCCCTCAAGATTGTCGACTTTGGCAGTGCTCAGCCCTACAACCCCCAGGCCCTGCGGCCCCTCGGCCACCGCACGGGCACCCTGGAGTTCATGGGTGAGGGGCCCAGCTAGCAGCTGGGGTCTGGATGGGGGCGTCTGCTCTGTGCCATGTGTCATATGCTTACTGTACACAAGCAGTGAGTCCTTTGTGTGGAGTTTTAGCCCCACTGGATCTTTATAAGAGCCTGGAGTTTGGCATCACATTGCCTCCGTTTTACAGATCTGGGACCAGACATACTGAAGTTCAGTATTTGTCCAGTTAGACAGTTACAAATGATAGAGGCGGGATATGTGAAAGCTGAAAAGACGGAGAATCAGTTACTGTTTTATATACATAAGGAAAACCAGCTGTCATTTAGCTACCTGCTAAATATTTGATGTTTATCATCTCTACTCTTTGCAGTTATTCTATAAGCCACACTTTCCAGGTGAGACAGTGGAGCCAGGATGGTTTAGCAGATTGCCTGGGGTCCCCTGGGCAGAGGGGCAGGTCTGGATTGTTGCCAGCTGGGCTGGTTTCAAAGGCTCTTAATCTCGGTGTTAGCCAGTGAGAGTCCTACCCAGGGGCGATCCAGAGGAACTGGTGTCCCTGCTTCTCAGCACCTCTGCAGCTCTGGGGATGCTGTCATTCAGTTCTTGGGCTCCCCCCTCAGGCCGGCTACAGGCTACATGCCCCCTGCGGGCCACCCCTGCCTTTGGCCCATAGGGTGGCCTCTATCACCTGCGCTCTGGTTGTGCCCACAGTCCAGTGACCTGGGCATTGTCCTTAATTTAAGCCCTTCCACTCTACCTGCTCCCTGTTACTGGGTCAGCTCAGCCTCTGTCTCTTGTTAGCTCCTGAAATGGTGAAGGGAGAACCCATTGGCTCTGCAACGGACATCTGGGGAGCAGGGGTGCTCGTCTACATCATGTAAGTACTGCGGCTGCTGCCCCACCTCCTGCTGCACCTGTTCCCTTGTTTCCTGTCTGCCCAGCGCACACCAGGCATATGCAGGGTGGCACTGGGCCCAAGCACTGGAGGCCTGGAGGCCTGGGAGTGGAATCTTACCCTTGAGTGGCACTGCTGGGTCTGTGGTGACTGAACTGTGTTCTACAACAGGCTCAGTGGACACTCTCCATTCTATGAGCCAGACCCCCAGGAAACAGAAGCTCGGATTGTGGGGGGCCGGTTTGATGCCTTCCAGCTATACCCCAACACATCCCAGAGCGCCACCCTCTTCTTGCGAAAGATCCTCTCAGTACATCCCTGGTGAGTGGGGCCCTACCTGCCACCTCCAGCCTTACCTGCTCTTGAGTGCAGACTGACCTGGCCCCACCTGGCCAAAGACCCCCAACTCTTCCCCTGCTACTTCTGCTAGCAACTTGCCTATAGCAAGTTGGACATGGTGGGTGGCCCACACCTGTGACCCCCAGTTACCTAATGTCACACACACAGTGGTGGGTGCAGGATCCAGGGATGGGGCTTGGAGTCCTGGCTGGATGGGGCTGGAGTCTTGTCCTGGCTCACTACCTGTGATTGGGCCTGGCCTGGCAGGAGCCGGCCCTCCCTGCAGGACTGCCTCGCCCACCCGTGGCTGCAGGATGCCTACCTGATGAAGCTGCGCCGCCAGACGCTCACCTTCACCACCAACCGGCTCAAGGAGTTCCTGGGCGAGCAGCGGCGGCGCCGGGCTGAGGCTGCCACCCGCCACAAGGTGCTGCTCCGCTCCTACCCCAGCAACCCCTAGCAGCGGCGTGGACCACACCCGGCCGCTTCGGGCTGAGACCTGGGCTTCCCAATGATGCCATGGGACATTCCAGGGCCCAGGCTGAGCCGGCTGGACCTGGGGCTTCAGATACCACCAGCAGCAACATCTGGCCAGGCTATTACCTCATGGACCTGAGGGGACAGAGGCCCAGGGACTTTGGCCAGAGCAGAAGACCCTTGGCTAGGCTGAGCAGGGGTGCAAACAGGAAGAGGGGTCACATGGGGGTGGGGGAAGTGAAGAGAAAGGAAAAATCGCCAAGGGGTAGGGAGGGGAGACTTTGGGAAGTGGGGGTGCGGCCACAGTGCATCTCAGGGAGAACCAGGGGGTGAGCGGCTAGAGAGGAGGAACAGGAGGGCGCTTAGGGTGTCAGGCCCCAGGGCTGGGAATGTGTCAGTGAGGTAGGGGGAAGACACAGACAGAGTGCCAGGGAGGGAGCCAGGATGTGCAAGAGGGCATCGAGGTGGCAAGAGGAGGGAGGATGCAGGGGCATGGGGTAGGCCAGGGGAGCAAGTGGCAAGCCAGGCACAAGCGGAAGCTCGGAGACTGAAGCGAGAGAGTAGGCACCCAGGCTGGAGTTTTCCTCCTTTGCCAGCGGATGCAGCTCTGGGCATCTGTGGTGGCCCAGGGATGTCCCTACCACCCTTCAATGGCCTTTGCCCTTCTTATTCGTATTTATTTATTTATTGCCTTTCCTGAAGTTTTCCCTTCCATCCAATCCCTGTCGCCCATGTTGTCCTGACTACGCTCCCCACCCCACCCCACCTCACCCCCACCCCCATTCCCACCAGTCATCCAGCTGTCTGTGTAGCTCTGTCTGTCTGTCACTAGGAAAATAAAACCGCAAGCAGCAGAGCCTATGTGTGTGGTCTTTGGGGGAGTGCTGGGCCTTTCCTTGGCTAGGACACTCAGTGACCTTCTCTGATGAAGACATGTTTGAGGATACACTGGCTGGCTCTTGGGAGCCCTCATCCCCTCCTTCTCCAAGGGAGGGGTGGCTGCAGTTTGCCTCTTGCCCCAAAGTTTCTGGATGCTGTTAGACCAGTCGAGCCCTCGCTACTCCGGTCAGAGCCCTGCCTCTGCTCACACACTTCCTTTCCATATCTTAGGGGATGCTGAGGTTCAGCATGGACCAAACCACACCCCAGACCTGGCTCAGCTTCTTTCACTCTGGCCCTGTACCTCGCCACCCCAAGGAAGATGTGTTTTGTCCTTGATAGTTGGCAAGAGGGAGCAGAGTGAAGAGCTGCAGAAGAAAAGGAGATGCCCTGGCCCCAGCCTCGTGGGGGCACAGTGTGGATCGGAAGCCACAGAGCAGCTGTGGGCACTCTGGCTGGCCATGGCCAGCCTTTTCCTGGGACTGAGCACACATCCACCTGGGTCTTCTTGTCCCCTGGGCAAGTTAAAAGGTCTGCTAGGTGCTAAGGCTCCTGGCTGTTCCCCTGCAGTGCCACAGAACAGACACTGGGTCCTAGCCCTGAGCTGCCCTGCCCTGAGGTGAGAGGAAAAGAGGAAGTCAGATTCCTTGTGTGTACAGGCTGGTTCCCCAACTACCTAGCAAACTGTTCTTGGCAAACAGAAAAGAACAAAGCCTCCAACCACAAGTAGAGAGAGTTGGCACTGGTGTGCTGCCAACTGAATTTGAGGCCCCTTGGCTTCAGTTCCAACAGCCCTCTGCCCAGCCCTACCCAGGACCTCAGGGAAGAGGCGCGCTCCATCATCATAAAATAACAGAATGTTAAAGCCAGCTGGAAGGGATAAAAGAGACACCTTGCCCACCTGTCATTTTAGGGATGAAGATATACAGTTTGCCTGCAAGGATCTCTAATCCTCTACACACTGCAAATGTTTTCATATAAAATGAGGTGCCTCAACTCATATCTTGATAAATGGTAACATTCCTCTCTTCTGTCCCCCCTCTGATCTGGAACTGCCTTCCCGTCTCCATTGGAAATGATTGTGCACTGCTTATTCCAAACCCAGAGAAGCAAAGATAATTTATGTCAGCAGAGCTGTCAAATTTGCTCTGATCAAAAGGTGACAGTGCTACACACCTGGATGGGTAGTCACAGTGAGTGGAAGCAACACTGTTACTGGTGTCCCGGGCACCTCTTCACCCCAGTGGTCAGATGTCCCTATGCTCTGGCTTATGTTCCAAAAGGGCTTGGTGGATCAAGAGTTAGGGGGATGAGGAGTAATGCTGATCTCCAGGGATAGTTCAGATCAGCCAAACTCTACCCTGCCGCATGAAAGGGAGGAAGTGTGGATGGGGTTGGCTTTGGAAGGGGTGCCTTTCTCAAAAATCTCTCCCAGCCCCTCTCCGTTTACCTCAATTTACCACCAGGGAGCACTGTGCGGAAATGACACCCATTCCTGTGGGTGTTAAGGGAAGAGTAACACTTTTGGACTGGTGATAGCCACTGATCCTGCCATGACTGGCTTTATGGATTATGAAGTCTTGGGGCCACTCTGGCTTCATGCAGGGACACTTGTACCCTCTTCACCTACACCATCGAAGGAAGGGCACGTCTGCCTGCTTGCATGCAGGCTGACCTGTGTGCAAAGCTGCTGCAATAATGAGCCGAGTCCCTTGCTATCTGGGAGCTGTGCCTGACCCTCCTGGGAGTAGGAAGGGTGCCCCTGTCTTGGGAGGGCTTGGGCTGCATCCAGTTGTCTAGGTACTGACAGCCACTGTACCTCAGAGCCGCATGGGTTTTCCACCCCCTTGGGTTGCCAGTAGCTGAGCCTAATTCCAGGCATCCTCCGGCTATATAAGGAGTGCACTTGGGTCAGGAGGTGGGCACTAGGGTCCTGGGGGACTTAGGGGCAACCACATAAACAAGGTCAGGACTCTAGCGATGTATATAATTCCCTGCCTGTACCCCTACTGCCTATACTTCCCTGGATGGCCCCTACTGCGCCATCCAGAAGAGCTCTGTGGCTCCTGCAGTCAACTCAAGTCCTTCAATCAATCCCTGAAGGGCGAGTTCACTCCTCAGAGAAGCCTCAGACATTCCCACCCTTCATCAGGCAGGAAAAGAGCTGATGGTCAGAAGCCTCTGTCTCTACCCTGTTTGCCCTCTACTCCTCAGATGCCCAAAGCAAATCCTATCAGAAACCTGCAGCCCCAGCTCCAGGATGTACCCTGGATATCAATGACCCCAGTCATTCACATATAGGCCTCTTACTGGGGTCACAAGTGAGGGAGGACCCCTGGAGTTTAGAAGGAAGTGGAGTGCATTCCTGCATTTGGGATAGGGTGGGCACACTAAGCACAGTGACTTGAACAACTAGGGTCACCAGGCTTAAAGAAGAGAAATTACTGAAGTGCAGAAGAGTGACTGGTATTTTATTAAGGTAACAGTGAAGTGGTAGCCCCCCTTCCTACCTGCCCCCCCCCAGGGGTCAGGTGGGCAGGAGACTGGGCTGTGGGCCTCTGGAGCACATCTCAGAGCTCTGGGCCTGGACCCTGGCTGTGGAGAGATCCCAGAGGAGCTGTGTGAAAAGTGGCTGCCACGCGTGCTAGAGCCGCTGAAGGACGTGGTGTTGATCGAGGGCAGCGAGGCCAAGCTGACTTGCTGCTTTTCAGCTTTCCAGGACCTGTTCATCCGCTGGAGCAAGGACAGCAAAGAGCTGTGTGAGAGGCCCAAGTGTCACTGTGTGAGTCGGCAGCTGCAGGCCAGTACACCATCAAGGTCACTAACACCTTGGGCCAGTGACAAAGAGGAGGCTGGCAAGAGCATTCACTCCTTGGGCTCCCGCAGTCAGTGCAGTGGTGCGTGAATATCTCGGGGACCTACCTATTGCAGTCAGGGTTATAGGGAGCCCAGCTCCGGGCTCAGAGAAGTCAGCTGTGGGCTTCGATCATTCTATCCTCCAGAGCCCCAAGAGTCACAGAGCGAGCCAGAGCGGAGCAAGGGTTCCAGCCGAGTTTTCTGGCTTCCAATCATGGGCAGACTTCACTACTCGGAGCTCCAAGGCACTACATGACCTGAGGGCATTGCCGGGCTTCCACCCACTGTGTCTCTTTTGATCCTCTGTTCACCACAAAGAAGGAGCAGAGATAAATTCGGCCTCACAGCTAAGGTAATGAAACCAGAGAAACTAATGGCTTGCTCTCCTCACACTGCGAATTTAAGGGCACCTCACATATAGGGTCAGATATCAGCTGGGGAAGTGATGACTCCGCCCCTTTTCACCTCCAAGTCCTTGGCTGGGCTGCGTTCCCCTCCTCTTCCTTAGTCTGAGCTAAGATTCTGAAAGACCAGACAACGCCAAGGCGCACAATGGCACCACTGTAATGCTGACTGCTGAGATCTCGGGAGAGCCTCCGCCCGGCGTGGGCTGGCCAAGGACGGGGAGGACATCAAGGAAGACAACAGATAAGGGCCGGGACCTGTGTCTAAAGGCGGGGTCTGGGGGTGGAACCTTGGTGGTCCCGTACCAAGCACAGGATGAGGATGGGGGACAGGACAGCGAAGAACAGAGCTGGCAGGTTAGCCTGGCCCAGTGCGCGTGTAAAGTGACCTGCAGCTCCTTCCTGCCCCTCTCCGCCCCTTCCCCAGAGTGTTCCTTCCAGATCTGCGAGACCAGCGCCACCGCCAAGACGCTGGCAAGTACGAGATGCACGTGGAGAACAGCCTGTGGATGGACCAGAGCTTTGCGTGCCAGGACGTGGCCTGAAGGAACCCTCAGACCTCTGGTCCTGACCTCAAGACCAGGGGTGGATGGGACCGACAACCTCCCGGTCTTGCTTAATAAAACTGCCCTCTCTGACCCTCCTCGTCGTTCTGTGAGTCAGAACTGCATTCTCCCTCTCGACCCTCCACCCCTGCACTTATTCCAGACCCGCAGGCCGAGGTCACAGAATGCTGGCGTCAGAGAGAAGTTTGGAGAGTGCCTATTTCATGCTTCATTTTACGGTCAGTTTGATATAGGATCTCTCTCACCATCACACTTCCAGGCGGACTCTCCTCTCCTGTCGTCCGCTTAGTCGGACTCGCTGAGCAGCCGTGACCCGCTAGCATCTCTGGGTTCAAGCCCCGCCCCCTAGAGGCTGTGCACGCGCTGGCCCCGCCCCCCCCCCAGGCGGGTCACACTCCAATCTTCTCCAGTCCTCCACTTTGGCCGCTGCCCTTGAGTCCATTCTGGGACAGTTCAGGTCCCCATCTTACATTCCAGTCTCTGCCTCTCAGGCCCTGCTCTTTCTTATTCAGGCCCGCCCCCCTCCATCCTTTGGCAACGCCACCGGCTTCTGCCATCTCTATCCCGTTGTCCCACAAAGTTAGAAAGGCAAAGGACTCGTCAGAACTACAATTCCCGGCAGGCCGTGCGAAGCATTCTCGCGAGTTGCGAGAAGACACGTGCGCGGAAGGAGCAGGCAGTAGTGGGCACCTGATCCGGAGAAAAGGGGACTAGTGGTAAAGGGAGCGCTGTTGGGGAGAGCGGAGGGGCAGGGGTAGGAATGGAGTAGGGGTGGGCACGGGCACGGGCACAGGCCCCAAACAGAGGGTGAGTTCTCTCCGTGGGTTTGGGTATGTGTTGGACCTGTAACCCCTGCCTGCGAGAAACGAGGGATTATTGGACTATCAGTTGTGGGGTTTCTCTGCGAACCCAGAGAAATTCGGCAGCAGTCGGCGGTATTATGATGACAGGGGTTAGGAAGACCAGTGTATGGGATGCCAAGTGAACCTGTCTTTTGAGTCGGGCCTCAGATATACAGGTTCGTTTTAGGATTCATGTACAGTACATTGTGAGTTTTTGCCAGATTGAGGTATCACCAAATGCAAATCAGTGTTAGTTCAGTAGTTGGGGTTCATGCCTACGATTGAGTGTAAATATCTGGGGCCCACTTGGGGTTTGTGGTTCCATATTCATGGTTTATTGTTAGGATTCAGGATTGTATCTCTAATATTTGACAATCATTGGGTTTCAGATTTCAGTTTTTCTCAGATTTGCCGTCTTATAAAAGGGAGTCTGCTGAGTTTCTGAGTTTGCAGTGTACCTGGGTAAAGGGAGCTGTGTAATATGAAATTATGAGCTTCAGATTTCAGAATTTATAAGGAATAACCCTGTGAGGTTTGAAGGAATCTGTGCTGGATTTGTGAGGTGTGGTATCTAGGGAGGCACTATTTTGACCTTTAGGTTTACATCTTGAAGGCTAAACATTGGGTTTTGGGGTTTGCTTGGGATGTGAGATCTGAGGCTGATTTCTCTGTTGGGGTTTGGGGTTTAGGTAGCAGTCATCATCATGCTCAAAGCTGTCATCCTGATTGGAGGCCCTCAAAAGGGTGAGGACCCCATGCATTGGGGAAGGGGTTGGGCTACAGCAGTAATGGGCTGGGGGCAGAGTGAGGCAAGAGGCTGAAATGTTCTCTTTCCTCTTCCAGGAACTCGCTTCAGGCCTCTGTCTTTCGAGGTTCCCAAACCACTGTTTCCTGTAGCTGGGGTCCCTATGATCCAGCACCATATTGAGGCCTGTGCTCAGGTAACCCCATAGGCTCCTTTCTCCCATCTCCTTTCCTGCTCCTCTCCTTCTTACATGATTTCAACCTCTCCCGACCATGATCTTTTATCATTAGGTGTAACTCTAAGGACCATCAGAGATGCCCCAAGGGTTTCTCCTACTCTAGTCTCTCATCTGGCCTCTTCCTTCTCAGCTTTCATGCCTATTTTTAAAGTACAGAATGTGAGACAATTTAGAGGCACAGTGGAGCCTGCCTGATAGGCTGACGCAGGAGGATCCCAAGTTTGATCCCAGCCAGGGCTATTGAATGATTTAGAGAAATCCTGTCTCAAAATAAGAAATGAAAAAGAGCTGGAGATGTAGCTTAATGTGAAGAACCTGGATTTAGTAATCATACCACAGTCACACGGAAACACACACACCCAAAAGAACATAGCGTAGGGATCCTTAATGATAACAAAAGAATTCATTCCCTTGCTGCTATGGACCTCATTTCTTTATTGCTTTTGGTATTTAGAAAAGCAAAGTTCTGGTTTGAATCCAGTGTCTGTCTGCTGTGAGATCTGGAGCAAGCAAACCTCGTACCCTCTCTGGGCTTCTGTTTCCTTGACCGTGAAGTAGAGATGAGATCCCTTTGTGAGGTGGCAGTGCCATAAAGTGCCTAGTCAGTGCAGGCACCCTTGCCTCATGCTGATCTCAAGCTTAGACTAACAGATAAGAAAAAAGTGGAAAAGATGAATGGAGTGTCCTTCAATGCACTTTTACAGGCAATCTTTCCTTGTGTAAGTCCCAGTGTAGGGGATGGGTATAACAGACTGAAAGATCCAGCCAAGACTTCCTCTGACTTACACATTATCCAGAGGAGAAATCAGGCCAAAGCAGTAAAGTGAGTGCCCAGAATCCCCCAGATGAAGCTGAAACTGTGGTCTCTGGGCATCGGTGTAAGCACCAAGGATCCCTCAGCATTCCCTCCTCTTCTCAGGTATATTTCTCCCAACTTCTTTCTCTTCAGGTCCCTGGAATGCAAGAGATTCTACTCATTGGCTTTTACCAACCTGATGAGGCCCTCATGCAGTTCTTAGAAGCCACACAGCAGGAGTTCAACCTTCCAGTCAGGTGTTTGTGCATACGTCTATGGGGAGGGAGGTCCTCTGAGTTTTTCATAGTGGATTGGAGTCAGTGTTTGCCAGATTTCACCTCACACACCAGACACCTTCTTGTCTGGGCATCTCTGAATCCCTAGATACACTCTCTGGCGTTTCTCTGTGGGCCCTGGGCAGTACTATTGGAAGCCAGGGAACACACTTACCCAGGTACATCGCGTCTATCTGGTCAGATTTCACTGAGCTGGCTCTGGGGTTCCTGGTGACAGGTACTTGCAGGAATTTGCCCCCCTGGGCACAGGTGGTGGTCTCTACCATTTTCGGGACCAGATCCTTGCTGGGGGCCCTGAGGCATTCTTCGTGCTCAACGCGGATGTCTGCTCTGACTTCCCCTTGAGTGCTATGCTTGACGCCCACCGACGCCAGAGACACCCTTTCTTACTCCTTGGCACCACGGTGAGGGGCCCAGGAGGCCTGGAGGGTGCTGGGAAGGCAGAGGCAGCCCAGGGAATTGGAGTGGGAGTGTGTGTCGGGAGGAAGATGTACTGCCCCAGCAATGACGGAGGTGTCACTGGTGACCCTGAGCCCTTAGGCTGCTCAGAAGTAGTGAGGGGGAGGGCAGCTGTCAGCTCTCGCCCCTGCTGAAAGGCTGTCAGCAGTGGAGCTATGTGCTTGCGTGCCAGGGTGAGCAAACAGCCCTGCTGCCCTGGAGCAGGCAGGTCACTGTCTCCAGAATGTCTGTCTTTCAGGCTAACAGAAAACAATCCCTCAACTATGGCTGCATCGTTGAGAATCCACAGACGCATGAGGTAAGAGCAGAGGAGCTGAGCAGCCCCACTCTGGATTACGCCCCATGACTCTAAAGTCTGCCAAAATGCTGTATGCAGTAAGTCCCAGTCTTGGCAGTCAGGAGAGACAGCCCTCTATTAACACGTTCCTAACAGAACCATAATTTGTATGTCTCACTGTCATGCAGCTCAGAACTACAAGTAGTACGTGTGTAACTGTCCCATTGGGTGGCACGGGATAGGTGATACAAACTGGCATGCATGTACAAGCAGTGATACAAGCCAGCGGGAACATGTTAATTGCGTTGTGTGTCTTTATGAGAGATAGACTAGGGGGAAGGGACAACAGTTAGTTTCCATGGGCGTGGTGCTCTAAGTGTGCACACAGGTGCTAGAGGACAAAAGCGGGGGCCTGCAAAGCCTTGCCTGGCTGGGCTGGGGAAGGCTTCCTAGAGGAAGTGACACTGAACTGAGTTAGGTTTGTCTAGCTAGGGGAAGACAGGCAGGGGCTGGAGGCAGCGGGAATAGTACGTGCAAATGCAGAGACAGGACAGAGTCCAGTGGCTCACATTAGGGAAGGGGGAGCATCATGGGCAAGACAGAGGAATGCTGGCTGTGTCTGTGAAACTCCCCAGCCCTGAGCCTTGTGTCTTTCACACGCTTTTGTTTGATCTTGTTGTAATATAAAGCATGTGTACAAATGCACACCCAAGCCAGGTATGGTGGCACTACCTGTAATTCCAGTACTTGGGAGGCTGAGGCAGGAGAATCATTGCAAGTTCAACCAAGCTGGGCTACAAAGTAGCTCAACGCCAGTTTGAATTGCATAGCAAGAGCCTGTCTCAAAATAAAAATAAATCAGTGCACACACAGCACATATGTAGGCACCTAGTTTTATGCCAGGTACCAGCTAAGGTATGAGAGAAGAACCAAAAGGGACAATCCTTGGTCTAGTAGGAAACCTAGAGTCTCTTTTGGAGGTGTGTCATGAGTAAGGTGTGGCTGGATGCCAGGGTACCAGGCCTGAATAAGTCAGGGATGGGGTGCTGGAACTCACGAGGGTGGAATGACATGAGCTGGGCTGCAGAGGTGGGCTTTCCAGAGGAAGAGGCAGGACGGTGTTCCAGGCAGTGGCACAGAGCTATGTGCTGGGAGCCTGAGGAAGTGGGGAGGCTGAAGCAGGGAAAGGCCTGGACTCTTGTTTTGAAGGTAAAGGTGAAGGGCTGTCAGCTCAGTCAGATTCTGCACACTGCATTTTAGGGAGCCCACTGTGGGAACAGGGAGGAAGGCCTGGAGTTGAGAGGGTCTTGGGGGATTGTGGTGGGTGGAGTCAGCCCCATCAGGAACCCATTCTTGCTATCCTCAGGTCCTGCACTATGTGGAGAAACCCAGCACGTTCATCAGTGACATCATCAACTGTGGCATCTATCTCTTTTCTCCGGAAGCCCTGACACCTCTGCGCGATGTCTTCCAGCGTAATCAGCAGGAAAGGCAACTGTGAGGCAGGCCCCGTGGCCCATACCCCAGCCCCAGGCCTCCCCACACCAGCCTCTGCAGGCTCCATTTCACCCTGCTTGCCCTCTTCCTGCCTCCGCCCTCTCCCACTTGTCAGCTCCAGCAGAGCCACCAGTCCCTCCCCTTCTAACCTCATTCTGTCCCTCTTCCTTCTCCATCCCAGTTCCTCCTCTGTCACCACCTGCCCACTCCCCTTCTGGGCCATTTTTCTCAAGCCCTGAGTGTCCCAGAGACATCTTTCAGAACGGACGGTAACATACACTTGGGTGCACACATGTCCGAGTGTGCGTGTGCTTACATATGTGCTTGAGCATGTGCGCGCATGCACACACACACACACACACACACACACACACACAGACATGCACACATTCTCAGGCTAGACCCCCTTGGCATGTAGCATCCCAGAACCCTGCTTCCCAATCCCAGGTCACCCCCTGTAGGCTGAAAGCTTCCCTTTGCAATTCTCTGCTTTTCTCCTCCTCCTCCTCCCCCTCCCTTCTTTCCCACTCACCTTCCCAGTCTCATGCCTCATTTGCTCATAGCCATTTCTCACCCCACCGTGTCTCTGCTTCTTTCCATCTCTCCTGGCCTCTCTATCTCTGTTTCCGCTGAGCTGGCATCTCTTTCTCCTCTCTCTCTGTGATTATCTCTGCCCTCACCAGCTGCCTTGCTCTGGGGTGAGTCTGTCTGTGTTTCATTTCATCGGGTGAGGGAAGGGTGATTGGACGGGTACATGGGGAGGAGGATGTGAAAATCAGGGGAGCAGCTTCTGCACACGGAGCAGGGTTGGGAAACTGTGCCTGCCCGTGCTCCCCTGTGAGAGCTGCAGATGGGGGCAGGGGGACAGGGTAAGTGGGAAAGGCATTTGGATGTGAGTCCCATTTGGAGAGGACCTGGAGAGGGGCTTGGAGACGGGGAGGGAGTCCCTCAGATTCTTTTCTGGAGAGACACATTGGTCCTGTTTTTGAGGACATCCAGGTAACCAGTGACAACTGTATCATTCCTTTCCAGAGAGGATTCTCCCAGCTCATGGCCAGGGGCAGGGACCATCCGCCTGGAGCAGGATGTGTTCTCAGCGCTGGCTGGGAAGGGCCAGATCTATGTGCACATCACAGAGGGTATCTGGAGCCAGATCAAGTCTGCAGGGTACGTAGGGGCAGGATGTCTGTGGCCCTGATTGGGAGGGTGGGCTGCCTAAAGCTCGAGACTTATGGGTATGGCCCTGCTGGCCTCTGAACCCCACTTGTATTTCCGTTGTCAGCTCAGCTCTCTATGCCTCCCGCCTCTACTTGGGCCGATATCAGGTCACTCACCCAGAACGGCTGGCCAAGCACACGCCAGGGGGTCCACGGATCCGAGGTACCAGCAGGCCCCAGTTGTTTGCCTCTCCCCAACTCTATACTTCTCCCGCTGACCCACGATCCTGAACTCAGGTCCAGAGGTGAAGTCTCAATCCCTGCCCCTCCCCATCCAGATGTGGTTTGGGATATTTGCCTCCAGGTCCTCTCTTCTGTTTCTAGGAAATGTTTACATCCATCCCACAGCTAAAGTGGCCCCGTCGGCCGTGGTAAGCAGTGGGCCCATTCCCACAGAGGATGGGTGGCAGTTAGGGTATGGGTGGGGGCTCAGAGACTGCCTGAGCTTGGGGTGCCGGTCTCTCTACTTCGTCACATTTGTTAAGTGGCCTCCAGCAGGTCACTTCTGCCTCACCTGTTCTAGGAGGGGATTGGACTTGGCTGTGTCCAGGTCCTTTCCAGGCTCATGGTTTGTGCTCCTCTCCACAGCTGGGCCCTAACGTTTCCATTGGGAAGGGGGTGACTGTGGGCGAGGGTGTGCGGCTCCGAGAGAGCATTGTCCTCCATGGAGCCACATTGCAGGTAGGCATCAGGCACGTGGCAGCAAGTGGCACCCAAGAGGCTGGTGGGAGAGCCCAGATATCCCCGCAGGAGCAGAGAAGGTCTGTTCCTGTCTCCTACTGACCTGGCACCATCTTGTTGGGCAGGAGCACACATGTGTTCTGCACAGCATTGTAGGCTGGGGGAGCACTGTGGGGCGCTGGGCTCGCGTGGAGGGGACTCCCAACGACCCCAACCCCAATGACCCCCGAGCCCGCATGGACAGTGAGAGCCTCTTCAAGGATGGGAAGCTGCTGCCTGCCATCACTATCCTGGGTATGTTGGCTGGAGGTCCATGGGGAGCCTGTGTATGTGTGTGTGTATTTGGTCTCTTCCTTTAGCAAACATTTACCAAGTGCCTGCTGTGTGCCAGGTCCTGTGTGAGTCCCTGGGGGCATGAGGCCAGGAGCACAGATGGGCAAGGAGGGATCCTTCCCAGATGGCCAAGGCCCCCAGCCCCCTGGCCCTGACCTCTCCCCGCTGCAGGCTGCCGCGTCCGGATCCCTGCTGAGGTTCTCATCCTGAACTCCATTGTTCTGCCACACAAGGAGCTAAGCCGCAGCTTCACCAACCAGATCATCCTCTGAGGGGGCTGTCAGGAGGACCCCCAGCTCCTACCTGCTCCCCGTGAGGCTGTTGCCTGCTTGGCCAGCCTCGGAAAGAACCCAGGGAAACCAGGCAGAGTTTTTCTCAGGCTGGGAGCAATGTGGGA